TAAAGTATAGTAGGTAGTTCAGCCTTGAATGTACTCTTTCTTCACAAAAGATTTAGTAGAATTTATGAACGGAATCTTAGGAAAGTTAATGTAGGTCAAGAGGACTAAATCGACATTAAATTGCTGTTTGGATATCCTAATGATTATTACTACAAATATATTTATGTAAAAAAGAATAATTTAAAAATAAAAAATAATATCAGCCCCACTTCATGAAATAATATATGTATACATATATATATATAGAGAGAGAGAGAGAGAGGATGAGATTGATACTTACCCTAAGGAGATTTCGTATAAAATATTTTATTATGATTTCAAAGATGATTCCACACATAAGTAGGGACATTGGCTTGATGCCATTTGTAGATTGAGATTGGGAGTAGAAAAACCCACTAAATTGAACACCTCAAAGGCTCCAATCCCTCATTCTCCTACAACTTATTGGAGCTTGGAGTTCTTGTCCATCACCCATAGGACCTGTCCCTGATGAGGTGAAGATGACCTTGTCAGAGGAGCAGAAGGCCTGCAACTATGCCATGGACTAGGCCATTGTCTCCATTCTCCCAATGACAGTCAAGACAGTGATTGAGCTGAACCTTCTCGGATCATTAGTCGGGGGGGTTCCGGCACCCTATTTGAAGATTCCTCATACTAAAAGAGGATGGTGTCTCCTTGGTGGCCCTGCTGTTGATGACCCAAGACAAGGTATTTATGGAGAGCTAGCATTACTTTGAGGACTTGATTCTGCAAGGGCGAATCCCCTTCTACAAGGCTTGAGGAATGACAATGTTCGAGTACTAGGGGATCAACCCCAAGTTCAACAAGGTGTTTAATGTCAGCATGACCAACCACTCCACCATAACTATGAATAAGATGTTGAGGATCTACCGTGGGCTCAACTGTCTCGGTGTTCCAATGGATGTGGCCAGTGGGGTCGGTGCAACACTCAACATGATCATCTCCAAGTATCCATCCATCGAGGGTATCAACTTTTATCTCCCCCACATCATTGCCAAGGTGCCCTCCTTCCCCTATACGACATAGACCAGCATCCCCTATTCCTCAACCTATACACATTCACTAATTTCTAGCGACGATGGAGGAACAATGGGTCAACATTAATGGAAGGATTTGTTCTTTTCAATGCTCAAGCATTGAGCATGTTGGTGGAATATGTTCGAGAGCGTTCCCAATGGAAATGCCATCTTCATGAAGGAAATTGACTCTTCCATCGATTTTTCTTGTTCATGTCTTCCCTATGTAAGCAATGTCAGCCCATGACATTTGACTTTTTTGGGGGGATGTGTGAGGAGTCTCATCACGTCTAACCCATTCAGAAGACATGTAGGGAGTCTCATTTCATCTAACCTGTTCGGACGTGTAGGGAGAGGTTGATGGTGATAACCCATCCTTATTGATCTGTTTGGGGGTCGTGTAGGGAATTCACAGGAAACGAGGGTGGTTAAAACCACTAACTCCCAAATATGTGAGCCTACCCACAGAGGTTGTGGATGCCCCTTTTTGTGAGGGTAGCTATCTTTTCTCCTTTTCTATGAATAAGACACTTATTCTTCTTTTTTGGATTATGACAAATGAAGAATACTTTATTCTTCTTGAGATTTCTGCTCTCTTTTGATTCTCTTGACTCTCCATCAAATCTCTCTCTCTTTTTTATTTTCTCTTCATTTTTCTATTGTAGGTGAAGTTTTTATAAAGAGAAAAGTTAATTGTTTGCCTAATAATATGTGAGATGTCTCAAGGACATTGAGATGTGGATCAGAGGTATTTTGATGGAAGACTTGTTCTTATTAGAATTTCACATAACTTGGTAATTTTTCTTCAATTATTTACTCTTATTGATATTCAGAAATTGAATTTTCATTGTTATTGTGATCATGTGCTTACATATTTTTCCTACAGCCTATCTCCTCTAACTTTTTCTCGATTAATCACATTCTCTTGGAACTAGATTTCAGTGGATTCTTCACGACTAGAGCAACGAACACTACCTCAAGGTTTTGAAGAACTACTTGAAGCCGCTGTCGGAGTAAGGGACTGTCATTGTGATGGAGAGCATTCTCCCGGAAACACTGGATATGACTAGGGAAGCACAATCCTTATTCCACATTGACCTGACAATGCTTACCTGCAACCCTCCGCAGCAAAGAGAGGACTGAGAAGGACTTTGAGTCACTAGTGAAGAGTGCGGGGTTTTCGAGGTTCCCTAAGGTGAGCACCATCTTCAGCATCTGGACATGGGATTCACCAAGTGAAGCAATGCTTATGTGGCTGATACTCCCATCGGCCCCGCCAGCCAACTGAACTTTTGGGGTTGTTCTTGTTTCTGCTCGATTTGCTCACTATAAAATAATTTAGAAATCCCTATTTTTTTTGGTAGTAGCAGCATTAGCCCATATTTGGCCAGCTTAACTGTAGGCGCACAGCATCCATAGCCCACATGACTCAGATGACGTGAACGGGCGGATGGGCATGGGAGCAACGACTGACAGCCTAATCGCAGGAGACATGTTGACCATGTATGATGATTTCTCAGTTGACTTGGATTTTCACTTGCCGCCTAATCTACCGCATCTAATTTGAATTAATTAGTTTATTATAAATAATATTTCAGAATATAATTACTTTCTTATGTGACCACATATTCAATATACTTAAATGCTGGTTAAAGACAAGTAAACTGTTGTGAATCTGCAGAAGCCGTAGTAAGCACGACGGAGTGTTGGTGCGGAAGGCTTTCAAGGTATTTTTAAAGGCATAAGTCCATTTTTTTTAAAAATTGTGCACAAGAGATAAAATGTACCTTACGTTAACTGAGTTTGTCGAGTAAATTTTCGACCTGGTTTATTGACTAAGGTCAAGGTCAACTAGCGATACTATCCATCTCGGCTTCCACATCGTCGTGTTGCCCGTGGAAAGCCTTCAGCCACACTTTTCTGTGGACGCAGTTCGAACGGCTGCTGAGACCAAACGATTCCCTCGTTCTAAGGCAACATTGCCCGCGTCCTCAACACCCGTACGAGAGAATACCTTGGTTTCTCCATCCCCTTGTCTTACGCTGGCACATGACTTTTGTCTGTTGAGAGGGAGGGAAAGAGAGAGAGAGAGAGAGAGAGAGAGAGAGAGAGTAGGAGAGAGAGAGAGTGAGAGAGAGATAGTCATCCGGGAAAGGGAAAATGGGAAACAAGTCCGCAATTAAATCATGTTATATTCTTGCTGTCGGGACGCGGTGTATGCGATGAAGCCGAAGATCTCTGTCGTCGTAGCCTGAATGCACATTTTTCACTATGCGGGAATCAGTCACCAAGCAGCGACAGAGCGAGAGAGAGATTAGAATTATATTCATTTCCCATTGTTTTTAACTATCTGTAAACCCCACTGTAACATTGACATTTTAAAAAAGCATTAAAATGAAAATAAAGAGAGCCCAAAACGGCAGAAGGCCAGTATTTTTCTCATCTAGTCTGACCCGATGTACAATTCATACCGTCTCCACATTCTGCAACCATTAGATTATAAGTTGTTTGGAAAAATTAAATCTTTACCAATGGATTCTCTTGTCCAACCGCCCCGGCAAGAAATGGTACAGCCATTTTCCTCAAATCCTTGATTTCTCTCTGCATTGGTTTTCTCTTTGTAGCTGCGTATGCTTCCTGCTTCTAGACTTCTTCGCTTAAGCAGATCTAAATTGCAGATGAGATTCCTTATCCTTCTCCTGCCGCCATAGCTCTATGAATGTCAAATCACCTCTCTCTCTCTCTCTCTCTCTCTCTCTCCCCCGCGCGCGCTCGCGCACGTTCGCTCGTTCTCTGTATGTGTGTATATTACTGTTACTCCGTCGATTTACAAGGTCGATATATGTCTTCTTCCGCATTAGAAGGAGACGAGGGACGTGAGCATGAAGCAATGAACAAGGGGAGGTCCCCGCTTCTCTGTCCGCTTTTGGAAATAGTTACGCGCGGCTGCCGACCAGTTTCCTCCCACAATCCAAACCCTAATCCCCGGACCACAGGCACCTGTCCAAAGTCACCCCCCCCTGTTACCTCCCAAGTTGTTCTTCGGGCATAACTAACCACACGCCACTCGTCATAACATCGAGGTGGCGATCCTGCATTCCCCATTTCTTCTCGCAGTTTCCATTTCTTACTACCCTCTGAAAAAGACTTCTCCACCGTCTCTCCTCCGCCTTCTCACCAAATAATCCTCCCTCCCTCTCTCTCTCTCTCTCTCTCCCCTTCCTCTCTCTCTATTCATCTTGTCCCTGGTGACGGGTGCATGTGCACCTCCTTGTCCCAAAGGATATTCCGTCGGTTACAAGGCGTCTTGCCCGATCTCCTGTGACATTTTAAGTGGTCCGGTCCGTTCCCTTCCTTGGCGTCATTAAAGAAGAGCGAGTCGATGCCTTCCCGCGAAGGGAGTAAGAAAGAAGAGAGAGAAAACATAGGGGTCCTAATCTCACCTAGCCTTTCACTCTTTGGTGGCTACTGCTGCACTTCCCGAACTGGAGAGCCAACCAGGGCATGTCAATCGCGTTGTACGTTTAATATCTCTGCCCTTTTTCCTCTCGTCGCCATCCTCCTCACCTGCCCTAAGCTCTGAAACTTATCCGTTTCTGGAATGAGGACATGGGCTTGGTGCTCTCGTTAAATGCCTCTGTTTCTCTCTCTAATAGTCTGCTTGAGGGGTAGTCCGAAAGGAAACACAGTTAATATGTTTTCCATTATCCCTTCTCCTGGTCTCCGCATGAACCCGTGAGACCGCAGTTCCTGGAACAAGACGAGGCAGTCAATTATCGCAGCTATGAGAACAGGGTGACCTCAGATCGTCAAGACCTGATGCCCTTCTTCAACATACCACTCGAGGATGGACGCCAACAGCGCAAGCCCTCAGAAATAAGCAGTTCCCAGCTCCTTCTGAAGCTGCAGGAGGAAAGCCTCTAGTGGCAATACCTCCAGGAGCGCCGAGGGAACTCCTAGCGCATGGAAGAGGCAACCGGTAACGCTGCTGCCGCGACAGAGACCGTCGCCTCCGCCGCAAGAAATTTTGCAGAGCAGATAGGAAAGAGAAAGAGAAAGAGAAAGAGGTTCCAGCCCCCCACAAAGAACATCAAGGAGGTGGAGAGTCAGAGGATGACGCACATCGCCGTGGAGCGCAGCCGGCGGAAGCTGATGAACGAGCATCTCAGCTCCTTGCGGAACATAATTCCCCCTTACTTCATCCAAATGGTAATTTTGTTCTTCCTACGTACATCCTGAAGCATCCGTCTCCCAGGGATTCTGAACTTTCTTATGCTCACAGGGAGACCAGGCCTCAATCATCGCCGGAACCATCGAGTACGTGAAACAGCTGGAACAACTTCTTCAGTCCCTCCTGTCTGAGAGGGGCGAGAGAGACCGGAGACATACATACTTCTCCTCCACCTCTCCTCTAACAAGTATCTACCCTTTTCGAGAATTCTTCCCTTCGCCCAAGTACACCATTCACACCTCGCGATCTCCGACTACCACCGAGGTCGACGTCGCCGCAACGGTAGTGCAGTCACATGTGAATCTGACGGTACTTTCGCGGCAGAAGCCGGGGCAGCTGCTGCGGGCAGTCTCGGAACTGGAGAACCTCCATCTCTCGGTACTCCATCTCAATGTCACCTCCTTCGACTCCTCCGTTCTCTTTTCCCTCAACCTCAAGGTGCCGCCCCTTCGATCTCCGTCAATCTGATTCCCTGGCGCCACATACTTTCATCAAGTCCATCTCTCGATTGACTGTCTGGGTCTCGCAGATCGAAGAGGAGTGCAAGCTGGGTTCGACGGACGAGATAACTGCAGTGGCTCATCAGATTTTTTCCCTCTGCGACTGACGGGAGGAACGACGGCCCACAAGGAAAGCTGAATCGAATATATTCCTCTGCGTATCAAAATACAGGAAGATATCGGAGAAGCGACAGCGGCAGCCTGCGGCCCTCTGCCACCGGCAGTCTCTGTTCTACTGATTGCCGGAAAGGTCTCCTTCGGTGTGCCATTCCATGCGGGCAATTGCTGCCTGAAAGGGAAGGAAAAATAACAGGCTCTCCGTACTTACCTAGAGAATTCCATATGTTTGTGATAATGCGCCACAGACTGGAATCGAATAAGCTCGGGGATAACCCATATGGTGCATTTTTTAAACTCTGCGTACACTTCTGTGGAATTTACTCCCATGTTGTGGCGAATGGTAGCTTATATTGACAACTGCTTACGTGAGTTCGTCGTACATTGTGGCTACATCAATGAAGTCTTCTTTCCTTTCAAGCTTGACTCGAAATCAATTCCTCAATAAAAATATCAACTCGTCTTTACTTGACCATAATCTCATTCAGATTTTACCTGGATTTTGGCAACAACCCATTTCAAGTGTTCGGCTGCATTACAGCTGATATCCGTCTCAGATAGATAGCTTTCACGGGGCCAGCTTGAGAACCCATGAAAACACCTCCCTCAGGAAAAATGAGGGGGAACAAGAAAACAGCGAACTGTTGGGAAGCTGAGTGGCCGAGCTATCTCTGCCGTCCCTTTCCGGTAGCCCAGAGGAGGGTTATGATGAGATCCTCGCACGTTCGGCCCATCCACGTCGGAGGAGGACCTGATAGATAGCCATGTCCTTCGGTGGACTTGTCAATGGTGGATCATGAAGGTGGTGACAGACGTGGGGTGTTGAGAAAGTGGGCCACGATCAAGGGCCCACTAGCAAGAGAAATGTGGGGATGAAAACCGAGTAGGAGGAGGATCGATTTGGTGTATTCTTGAGGGAGGAGGCTGGGAAATTGACTGTCTCTATCACGTTTATCTTCCTTTTACTTTCATTTATTCAATCTATCTTTATATCATTTGTACATTTGTTATGTGACCAATTCAATCTCGGCCCATTTACAAACGAGGTTCTATCAAGTGGGGCCAAAGTGGTTTACATCATCTCGTAGAAGCAAGTGAATGGAGGCGTCGATGGGAGAAGCTTGACTGATGTAGCACAAGGAGGCCAAAAGAGATCCCCTTAAAGTGAACTACATGCTGGTCTTTAGAGTCTACTTAGATAAGAACTTTGGGGGCTTAATATCAAGATGATTCTATAATTTTAGAAGATAATTATGATCATTAGTTGTGTTTGGGTGTAATTCAAAGAATCAGACAAGACTTCTCAACTAGGGTTTAGACCACCAATTTCTCACTAGAAGGTGGGTATCAGATGATTTTCACAAATTCTAAGAACAAAGATTTTAAATTAATGACCAACTCCACAAGAAATTAAAAATCAATGCACCTTTGAAATGGAGATTCTTAATTATAGAAGATTCTTGTTTTTTTAGAATTCCACGAGTCTTGTTAGAGATCTTTTTTATACCGTTTTCACATACTCCAACCATAGAATTATAAATTGTTCGGAAAAATTAAATCTTGACCAATGGATTCTCTTATCTAACCGCCCCGGCAGGAAATGGTACAGCCATTTTCCTCAAATCCCTTGATTTCCCTCTGCAGTGGTTTTCTCTTTGCAGCTGAATATGCTTCCTGCTTATGGACTTCGCTGAAGCAGATCTAAATTGCAGATGAGATTCCTCATCCTTCTCCTGCCGCCATAGGTCTATGAATATCAAATCCTCTCTCTCTCTCTCTCTCTCTCTCTCTCTCTACTCATCTTCTCCCTGGTGATGGGTGCATATGCACCTCCTTGCCCCAAAGGATACTTGTTACGGGCCTAACTCTTCGGACCAGCTTAACGGAGCGGATCTGCGGCGTATCCGGCGACGGGTGGAAGAGGTCTGCGGATAGGGCTCCGGCAGAGACGAATCGGCGGACCAAGGAAACCGTTAATGCGCGTTATCCCGTTAGCGGGCGGAAAGACGGGGGAGGGAGAGGGGAGTGTGGAATATTATACCAAGTGATTATGGCATATTTGTTTCTCAAGAGAAGTATGCTCTAGATTTAGTCAAAAAGTTTAATATGCTGAATTGCAAGACTTGTTCAACTCTTATAAATATAAGTGAAAAACTATGCATCAATTATGACACTTTGAAGGTGGGTAAAAGATTTTATATAAGTCTAGTTCCTGGTTTGATATATTTAACCCATAACATGTATGATGTTATGTTTTCCAAATTTTCAGATTTATGTAGTCGTATGACGCATCATCTTGGAGTACTGAAGAAAATTCTTCACTATATTCATGACACTAGTAATTACGAAAATTTATACGTATGTTCCTCATTTTAAATTAATTTATTTTAATGACAGTGATTCAGTTGAATCTGTAGGTGACAAAAAGAGCGAATTTATTTTCAACCTTAAATCAGGTGCAATAGGTCGGAGTTCAAAGAAACAAGAAACCACAATATTGCTGTATCATTACTTTCACAATAAGTCATATTGATGAGGAGGATCATGAAAGATTTTAATTTGGCACAATACAGGCCAACCATGACATATTATGATAATAAGTCAATCATATCAATGATAAAAAATTCAGTGTTTCATGAAATAACTAAACTTATTGATATTCATTATCATTTTATTCACGATCAAACTACTACTGATTAAATCGAGTTGGAGTTTTGCTCAACAAAAGATAAAGTTGTTAATAGATTTACGAAGTCATTTAGTTATTTATTTTTTTATCAAAGTTTCGAAAAGTATTTAGTGTCACGTGCTCTAGAGGGAGTTCGAATGTTAATGGTGCGGGAGAAGGCGGCCGTCATTTCTGACTAGAGGGGTTGACCCACTTTACTCCTAGAATATTTTTCTTTTATTAATTATTTTTGTACCTTGATCTTACTCTCTCCTACTACCGTTTGTGAAAATTTATTCTTATTTTAGTCAATTAAGTGGGACTCTCTCTCTCTCTCTCTCTCTCTCTCTCCTCGATTTAGGGGTCGAGAGCAGCCGCCGGCATCCCTCTCTCCCTCTTTCTTCTCAGCCCATTATCTTCCATTTTTGGCACAATTTAATCTCCCATTTACGGTTTTTATTCCTTCAGGATCCGGTGGGTGAGTAGCTGAACTATCCACACGTGCTAGCCGAGACAAGATAAGACCACCAAGTTAAAACCGAATTTGTCTTGCCAAACTTGGTAGCCAGCACCGGAATCAGATCGGTCCGGTCGGCGGGCCCGAACCGAATCTCAAGAAACCAAAATATAAATTTTGTGGTTTTTTATACGAAGATTTTTTTAGGTAATTAATTTTCTGAGGCGTTACTAAATATTTTTAGCATAAATTTTTACCCCAGAAAAAGGCATTCACTCCCAGGTTGCAATGGGCCCAAGTCACTACCTTGCTTTCAAGGGCGGTGGGAAGGTCATGTAGTGTGGCAGAGCGGTCGTTGGCGTTGTGGCGGCTCGTTCATGCCCGATAAGAGTATGGCAATTGCATGTATACACTAGCGTAATACAGTTGAATTGGGCCATCATACGCTTTTTCTCGTCCTTGTGGAAACCGAAGTCAAGAAGCGGTAGAAACCGTGTCAGCGAGCAACCAACAAAGTCAGTTAGATCGGCAGCTGAAGGTAACTGTAGAAGCTGCGAGAGACAAGATGGGACAGACGACCGCAGCCGAAGGGTTAATCAAGCGCCGGGATCGGAATTCCCCGGCACAATCGATTGGAAGCAACCAATCCCTTGATCAGCCCTCGCACATCGGGATATTAATACCCTGTTGCTTTACTACGAAAGACAAGTTGAATCTGATGCGGGCTTATTTCACCAAAATCAACGTCTATCGAAGAGGCGAAGAAGATCAGCGAAGCAACAAAGGCAACAGGCGAAGAGGAATCTGCCTACACTGTAGAGCGCTCGATTTGTATGGTCACATGGATGATATTATACTCCCTCCTGATGTAATCGACGACCATGTCAAGCACAAGATCAGCATCAGCATCCGGAGATATCGTCACGTGGCACGCGAGGAGAACCTTCCCGACTGTGATCGCCCATATGTGCAGCTCGTGAACTGCTACCACGCCGTGAAGCTGGCAGAGCCCGATCTCGAGCCTCTTCGCATCGATCTCCCTTGGTGTACTCTCCATGAGGATGTCGAGTATGCTCCTCAACATCTTTACGGTGGTCGTCAGAACGATCACCGAGAACACGAGCGTGCAGATGAGATCAAGGACCTTCCAGTCGGGCCTGTACCAGATGATTGCGCCGCTGATCATCACTCCGATGCTCTGGATAGAGTCGCCAATAACATGAAGGTAGGCACTGTGGACGTTGATGTTCCTGTGTCTCTTCTTCTTCCCTTTCGTGACGGAGTCACACCCGACATGCCTCAGAAGGGCTTCCCTCTCATCCTTCCGATGGGACCCTTTTAAATGATCATGGCCATGGCCATGGCCAATCTCTGCGTCATGGGTGTGACCTTGGTTATGCTTGACATGGCAACTATGACGATGATTATCGCCGTCGTCATGACTGTGGTTATGCCCATCATGAGAATGACCATGCCCGTGATCGTGACCCAGAAAGGAGGCCATGATGATGTTGACAACTAACCCCAAGGCTGAGACAACAAACATCAGGTAGCCTTGAACCTCGCCACTGTCATGCATCATTCTAGTGATGGCCTCAAAAACGAGTATCCCGGCCAAGAGCCATATGAGCTGGATCGAAACCAACGCACCGAGTATCTCTATTCGGAAGAAGCCATAGCTCTGACGAGGGGTAGCCTCCCATCCGGCTGCCCAGATGGAGAAGAAGGATATGGCGAAGGCTGCGACATCTGAAAGCATGTGCGCTGCGTCAGTCAGGATAGCGAGGCTATTAGCCGTGATTCCCCCAGCAATCTCAATGCTCATGAATATTGCGCACAGGACCACAGCCGTCACAAGCTTCCTCATAGATAATGACCGCTCTCTGGAATCTATGGAGCTGGTACTAAAATCGGAAAACCCACAGGTTGCTCCATCGCAGATACTTTTTCTAGCTCTGGTCTTTTCTCCAAGAGCTAAATCTGCATCGACTTCGATATATTGACCAGGTGCAGGAGCTTGCAAGTGATGATTTTGCGCCTCCATCTGCTGATAATTTTTTTACCATCAAGCACAAAATTTAATCACGAAAGTTTGATGCGTTCAATACCATCATCAATTAGGAGAAGTAACTAGACGAGGTGTGCAACAATAAGATATTTTGTGGAAGCCTGAAAGCCTCACTTGGGCTACATTAATGGGCATATGCGATGCCTTCTCATTAGCCACAGTGAAAACATCAGGTTCCCTGAACAGGGTAAACCGAGGGAAAACATACCATATAATTGCACTGACCCCATGGAAGTAGGCTGCGGTGTACGATCATCACTAGCAAGGTTAAAGATAATGTAGTTGAAAACGTAAATTAAAGATAATTTAGTTGGGAAATGGGCCTACCAAAGTCATGTTATTCTTGACTCTAACAGTACCCGTATATGGGCAAAAACTGTTCTAATAAAATGCCTCATTGGTACATGACAAGTAAAATCCGTTAATAGCATTAAAGTTCTTACACCGTTCGTAAGTGATTAAGTGGAGGTCTGATGATCCATTTACTGGCGTCAAATGTAAAGCAACCCATGGTCACCAGCAAGCAATTACTGAAAATGGTTGGGCTCTTTCACACTAAAAGAAGAGCATTTCCTTGCGTTATAATTAAGTAAAATCAGAAGAGATAAAGCAAAAGTAGCCAATATTTTGCCAGAATCATATACAAGAAAGCAAAGAAGCTAGGGTTAGAAACTACGATTTTAGATGTAGAACCTTCATGAAGTCAGTCTCCAAATGATCAGACGCCGAAGGGGGCACCCCGGGGATTTTCATGAGAACAGAAAAGACAAGAAAACGGTGTTTTAATGGCAACTTGGGAACCCCACGGGGTGATCAAGCTGCATTGCTTTTCGTTACTTAAAATAACAAGAAAAACCTTATCCAGGAGAGGGAAGAGGGGGAGTGCTCAGCAGTGAGAAAGGCGGAGAAGGTGCGCCGGAGGAAGGATAAAGGAAGTGGGGTGCCCACCGGGAGGGTAGGGGAATGGAGAGCAGCAGAGGAGAGGGACGCTATCGGAGAATGGGACAGAGGTATCTTGGTCATTTGCCCATCATAACCTTGGTTAAATTAGACTTAACACGGGTAATGGTGAAAAATTGAATATTAGATCGAAGTATATAAATGATAATAACATATTCAGCATAGGCATATAACTAGAAAAATGTTTCTTTCCATCCTTTAAAATCAAATGGAGAGAAAGAGTCAAAGGAGAGCGGAACAACAAGGGAATGCCCTCTGATTAGCGCCTGCTTTCCGAATCTTTGGTTCGTTGAGGTCCAAAATCGCAGAGATTCTCGAAATGGCGTAATCAACGGATGGTTGTTCTGACTTCGTCAACCAGATGTTGATCGTCTAGAAGCAGTGTAAACGAGAAAAGAGCGAAGAACACTAGGAAGACAAAATGCTGACCTTGTCGAAGGGCAACAGCCGCCGACGGTGGGCACGGGGAGGCTGGCGAAACGAGAATAGGAAATGTGAGTGGAGGCGGAGGAGAAATAACTCTGAGAGAGAGAGAGAGTGTTACACACCCCAGCGCGGCCCGGCCGGGTGACCGTTGCTTACGTTGCCCCGTGTCTCAGAACTTTCGGGTACCCGTGGGTCCCCTATTCTCTCTCCCCGCTTCCCATGCCCCCACAATCTGTGTCCCGTCTCGTCGTAGCACTGTCGCTCCGTCTGGGGAACAGTCTAAAGCTGACTCTATGACGACTGTGAAGAACGAGGGTAATAGGCCTATCACCGTCGTCTGGAGTCCACTACTCACGCCATCGTAGTGGAAGCTGCTCGAGTACTTAGGTCGCCGGTTGATCCCCTTTCATATGTAACCCTTAACCCCGGTCCTCCACTCCATCTGGATGACTACGATCTTCACGCTGTAGCAGGTAACTTTTAAAGAATGAGACCTGATGAGGCTCAGAGAGCTATACTCTGAGGTTTGACGAAAAGACGTTCATCTTCATGCTGCGACGTATGCCTCCGGCTGCAGCACGCTGCCGCGGCGCGGCGGCTTCCCTCGGGTGGAACGAAAGAAACTCAAAAATGGAGCGAGGGTCGGTGGAGAAGCCTAAAGGACAGGGAATAAGTCAGGCAGTGGGGCATCGAATCAAAAAAGTAATTTGCGGCTTCTTGGTGATTTGGGTAAGAGCTCATTCCCACTATCGACTTCCACGATCCTCGAATCTGAGATCGGCTGTCACTTGAAGGCCATAGCATCCATTGATACCGAGGAAAAACGGCAGTAACTCAGTTGATCGTGTCCACTGTGATAACTTTTCACAAAGATGATTAGGGAAAAGAAAGGAGAAAAGAAACAGGCATATATTTTGGTCTATGAAGACAGTACGAGTTTGAGAGGCCTGAATAATCAATAGAATCTCACACCAAGTTAGGCCGGCGTATCGATTATAGGCATCTCCTAATTCGAAATGAAGATACGAAAACAAGGGGTCATCCCTTCGGACATTATGATACTGAGTATTGATAAACATTAGACCATCGACACTGTCCCTTTAGTGCAGGAATGTCGAAGGGGATCGTATCATGCGACAAAACAGACAAACACTCGATAAATTCAATGAGACACGTTGCAAAATGAATTGCTTTCACTGAAAGAAGAAGACGAACGGCATTTAATGCGGAGAGAGAAAACGGTCCATGGGAGAACCGGTACCTAGAACCGATAACCGCATTTAAACGGTTCAGGCGAGAGAGAATGAAATGATTGCACGTTTCCCCGAGTTGCCTCACAGTGGTTATAAATAGAGCGTACTTCTTCAGTATTCTCTAACATTCTTTGTTTCACCACTATCATTATCCTTCATTTGAGGGCCAAGATCAAGTTTTTTTTGTACTTTATCCATATCTAATATAACTTTCATGGTCACCTATAGACGTAGGAGGCTAACCTCAACAACATAAAATCTTTGTGTCACTTGGTCGTGAGTTGTTAGTTTCTTATTGATTTACTTCACAGCTTCCTCAAGTCTATATTAAACATTTTACTCTAACAATCTCAACGTTCTTTCCTAATGAAAGTACATGACTAAGATAAGTAATGCCGATGTTTTCCTAACTGTCAGTTAGTTTTGACTTGTATAGACTTTTACATAAAAATTGAGCTAACATAATGAACACCCAATATTAGAGTAAGATTTTGGACCATCTTTTCTTTATTTAGAAGAGATGGGCTCAACCTTGTTAGTCTGAAGAAATAATGAAGGAAACATAAATCAAGTTAATGCTTCCTTGAAAAAGAAGGAAATGTGGAGAAATGTTTACAAATACAAACGCCCTCTTTATATCGTCCAAAGTTGGTCCATAAATTAACGATATATTTTTCATCACATTCCTTGTAAAATTATATTAGCATCCTTTAAAGCGACATTTTCTTTCACATACAACCACATGATCTGCAGGAACAATGGTTACAGATTTCAATGAGTTCGTCAAACCAGTCGAGACCCTTCAACTCAAAGTCAATTAATATTTTTAAATGCATAAAGTTCATATATGTCCCTTAATTTACTTGGAAATTTCAACAATCGACCAATCCAAATTGTACGACTATTGATAGTTTGATTTTTATGATTTATTACCTTAAACATAATTGTGCTCCAGAAGAACAACTTGCAATTAAATATCACGACTAGGACTCTGCTCGTCTGTCTCAAATAGTGTTGGTGAGAGCTATTGTTCTGCATATTCTAAACATGTGTTACGCCTGTCACATTCGGTGTAGGACTATTCTAACGTAAAAAGGGAATACAAAATAAGTTCAGTATCAATGTTATGGTGTAGTAAATAAATAAACAATTTTAAAAGGCACGAAGAAGCTTCCCCCCCATTAGCACCTTAGCAATCCAGTTCCTCATTACCAAACTAGTATTACAACAGCTGAGTGAACGACAGTCTCGGTGGTCGGGGATTCTGCAAAATAAACGTAGTTATGCGAATAACATTGGATAACCATTTACCACTGTTTGATCCAGCTAACACTTGAAGAGCTCCAAACAGTGTTCTTGATCCAGGTTCCTCGTCCAAAACGTCTTGTAGTACTCGCCGTAGGTGTAGCTACGGTACAGGGGCGGGGATCCGTTGGCTGTGAGCTTCTTGGCAGGGCTGACCATTGCCTCAGGGGAAGGGCAGAGAAGCTAGGCCACCGAGATCCTACGCTTCTCAGATTGGCCACCACCCGGTGCCACACGCTCTTGTACCGGTCATTGCTCAGTGCCTGTTAAAGCATCGGCATTATACACAGGAAGGAGGGACACAAGAGACGAGATCATCTCACCTCCAACTGGTCACCAACGCTGACGACAAGAGCGTTGGGGATGGAATCCACTCCGAACCACCGGCCATCTTTAAGAATCTGGAGGCCCCCCACCCCTGGCTCTTGCAGGAGGATGGTAAGCGCGTTGGGGTCTGCTTGGACCTGCAGGCCGTAGGTGAGCTCCGGTGCCGGACAGTGCGGGTAGTGATTTATGGCCATGTGTTCCTCCTGCTCCCCCAGCGCTGTCAGCAGGTACCCTTCTTCCAGACCCAAGCCCTCGGAGATGGCCCCAAGCAGCCATAAACCCAGCATACGGACTTCCCTGCTGTAGGAGCTGACGACGCTCCTGGAAGCGGGAAACAAAGAGGAGGAAATACTGTAGAAAAATCTAGAAAAAAAATGAGATCGGCTGATCAGCTGTTCAAAAATCCATCACAAGAGAGCTTATCGTTTAAATAGAGATTTATGTAAATTAATTGGAGGGATTAACGGAAAGATGCTATGGTCATTCCTTTTCTTCAGCACACCAGTAGATGATCCAACGATTATGAAGTTAGGAAGGATCGAGGACATAAGTCGATCTATGGATCTTAAGGGCTAGTAGCTGGGTATTTTATCCAATCAGACGGAGATGACTGCAGTTAAAATAAGGACAGACAGGACACTCTCACGTGACGGTTCCTTATGAGGGCCCCCATCCTCCAATTAATAGTCTAGATCACTTAGGTTGATGACCTCATTGGGCTGATTAGCAGGCAGGATAGGAAACTACACACGATTAGCAAATTCGAAGGGCGAGAGGGTAAGGAAGAATCCGCCTCGATGGAGGTTCACATCTCACGGCAAGGCTTACTTGAAGGGAGGAGGGTTCGAAGGCCACTCGTGGGCGTACTCCTCCGGAGGGTAGCAGTGGAGGCGAAGGTAGTCTCTCCAGTTGCGAAACGTCTCTTTGCGAACGTTGAAACTGGTCGAGAGCCTGAACTTCTTCGACGGGTCATCAGAGTAGAGTCTCATCTTCTCCTCCACGGGCATCCAATCTTCATGAGCACAGGATCCTACAATCCATCAGATGACCTGGACCGGTCGAGAGAATTGGACACTCGGGGGACAAGGAGAAGGCGGAGTGTGAAGACCTGGAAGATGCCATACGAACCGCACGCGTCGGCAATCTGTTTGATGATTTGACTACTCTTTCCTTGGCGGCCCAAGTCGATTAGCGGGGATGTGGACGTCGCCTACGACGTCGCCCAGCCTAGGCCTATGCTGCTCCGGCCGGACGTCGCTCGGCGAGAGGCGTTCGTGTCGCTCCACGGCAGAGAGTAGCTGACACGCCATGCCGATGATCCAGACGACGGATGAATCTTCTCAACTGCGGAAAGGCGAGAGGCGGTGAGGCTTAAAGATGAGGGGAGGGAAGAAGAACATACTGGAAGTAAATCCGAGAAACGAGGAGGGGAAGAGCACATTGGTCTCCACCCTCTTGTCTACACGTGCGAGGGACGGTGTCATGGTGTTATTGATCGATCCATTGAATGACGTCATCAACAAGGGTTGCAATGACATTAGATTTTTATTACCCGAGGAGGGTTGGAGACGTGTCCATACCGGATCGTGGAGACAGCTAGATCTCTGGCATATGGGATTCGCATTCAAACAAAGAAATATGTATTATAAACAGAGAGAGAGAGAGGGAGGGAGAGAGAGAGAGAGAGAGAGAGAGAGAGAAAGCGATCTAATCACTTGCCAGCTTGAACCTGATATTGTAAGTGTTCAAAGTTTACTAGGCTATGAAGCTTGAATGTGATCGTCCCCACCTCCTCCGTGGTTCACAAGGAGAGAGATGCGGTGAGGGTGAGAGGGAAGTAGAACGAAATGAAAGTAGTGGTCAGCAGGCGATGAGTCGAAATAGGATTCTTTTCATAGGATCTCGCCAAGGTCTGCTGAGGTGCAAGAGCTTCACGCACACGCCTCTTAAAAGCGAACTTAATGGGATTGAATGCTATTCATCAAGGCTATACAGTGATAAAGTTAAGCAAAATATGTTTAGCAATCAACATCAGATATTTTCAATGAAAAACTGTGAGTACAAAAGACAATATCATAAACTTGGAATATCATCTACTTGCCTCAACCTAAGGAAGAGTGCTTAAATTTCACTATTATTATCAGGTGTAACACAAGCGAACCTTCAGTACCATGGAACGGAGCTACCTTCTTAAATTATGTACCAAAATGACATTTGAACTTGTTCTATTTTATACGGTTTACAAAGGAATTAAGAGGCAGGGTGAATGAATCCTTTTGCACAATCTCAAAAGGACTCTCGTATAAGTGTGTTCTAGTCAAACAAAGTGACTCTACTCTTGAATTAATATTGGGTCAGCCAGCCCTCTAAGCTTATAACACTCTAGAGAGATATTGTCTTTAGGTTTCAATAACCTCTTATTAGGTGAAACTCGCTACCATTAGATTATTGGTTCTATAGGCTCAACGGCACCCAGCATTTACTTATAAATTCGTAACTTTAAGAGACAAACCAAGCAAGCCTATCCTTGCATCTTCTAGATTCAAATCTCTAGTTAGTCAACTACTAAGTTCTTGGCAGTTACTCCCCATTCCAAATTCATGGCTCTAAAAAAATTAAAAGTGCCCCTAAACACTTGCTACTAGTGCAGTTCTTATCACTATGAACCATTAAGAGAATGTAAGAACAAGAATAAAAGTTATACCATTAAGGGCAAAACTTATCTAGAATGTGGAGAGTAGGCCTTGCAATTCTGAAGCTTCAAAATCGTTGGACCAACACCCTTCCTTTGAGTAGTTTGATGCAGTGGATTGGAGTGTGTTTTGCCTTTTCATTAATTTTAGAGGTGTTGAAGCAGTTATAAAAGGGTTAGAAACAATTCCTAGAATTTTTCTTCCCATCTAAACATTTTTCCTCTTTTTCTCATGCTCAAAGCATAGAAACTTCTCTGGTGATTCCAAAGTTATCCTCAAGCATCTAATGACCAACTCACAATTTGCTGCTCCAATGCAAGCACCAGTGAGATTTTGCAAGTCATGGTCATTGGATTCCAAGCACAAGGCTTTGATTTAAGCTGCACTCCCATGTGTCATTATCACAACTCAAAGATCTCTCGAAATCAGCATGAAGGGGTAAGATGGCTATTATATGTTCACATGATCTCTATCCCACACGTCATCTCCTCGTGGAGACAATGGTGCCATTGGGTAGAGGTTTAGGTGGGATGGGGCATCCAATTGGAATCATTTCACTTAACCACCCTTTGTTTAAGTGAATCGGCATCTTCTGCTAATTTTCAAAAAATTTTAACTTGACCCTCCAGTAATTTGATAATACCTGTTTTGATGATTTCAAGATCATATATTTGGGGAGAGAGAGAGAGAGAGAGAGAGAATCATATTTCTCCCCTAACTACTAAATTCATAGCAAGCATGAATTTAGCAATAGGGCCAGATTAAAAGAAATTCAGGAGCCCGACCAGTAGTCAAAAAGTTAAACTTATTCAAATAAATATTTATTTAAAAATAATAATATTTTTTCTAAAGAAACAAAATGTTGTACTAAAACTCATGGAAGTTGGACAGGTGGGCGGACCTTGTTGAGGCGGGATCTGCTAGCCCACGGACGAAGCTCGCCACGGGCCCAGCCTGGGATGGCTACTTGGCTCTCTCTTGGGGTCGAGCGTTTGACGTGGATGCGATTCGGCGAATCATTCGCCGCCTAGGCTCTCGTCCTCCAGGCGGCGTCCTTGGGTCGACGGCGGCGTCCTTGGGTCGACGGCGGCGGCCATGTCACGGTCTCCGGTATGACGCCACCCCGTTGCGGCGCCGCCATCACCAACGCCCTTCTCGCCTCCTTGAACCCTTCCCCTTCCTCCTCCTCCCACCCTCTGCCGTCGACTGATACGAACCCTCTATTGGCGGTCGCCATTTCCCTCGTGTTCCTCTTCAGAAACTTCTCCCCCTGGCCGAATTCTGCCCCCTCCTCTTTCCGTCCGAGGTCCGCGAGGAAGATGAGAGGGACAAAGGCATCTCCGGCTACGCGATCGCCGTCCACAAGCCCCCCGTCGACAACTGCGAGGACGGCGCTGGCGTTCTCCTCGGCGGAGTCGCTCTCCGAATGGCTCCGACCTCGCCTCCCCGCTGAATCCTTCGCTTCATGGGGCATCAAGCCCGGCACGAAGACCGTCCACAACCTCTGGCTCGAGGTCTCCCTGGGCGAGACCTCCCTCCTTCTCCAAGCCACCGACGGCCGCGAGGACAGAGGGATCGACCCTTCCATCCATCGACAAGAACAATTAGGTCTGGCACCGGATCTCTCCCTCCTCCGTACAGTTCAGGTGGCTTCCGTCCAGATCAGAAACGCCCGAGGAGAGTTGCTCGTGGAGACCCACCAGCTCCTCTCCGACGGAACGATCAGGAGCCGCCGCCGCCCCCTCTCTGAGAAGATGAAGCCGAGCGAGTCCGTGGAGGAGGCCACATCGAGGGCCATCCGCGAGGAGCTCGGCGAGGGGGCAGTCGTGAGAATTGTGCCGGGCTCCTATCGGACGAGGGTGGAGGAGAGGCCCTCGGCCTCCTACCCTGGCCTCCCCGCGCGATACGTCCTCCACCTTGTTGACGCGGAGGTGGAGGGCGTCCCACAGGAAGGGGAGTTTTCCACGGAGGAATCGGGGGAGTCCGGATATCCCCAAGGAGCCTTGTTTGTTCAGAGGCATTTCTGGAAGTGGATCCCTAACGATGCTGCTCGCGATGCGGAATAATCCCTTCCACTGGGTTGCTGATCTCGGTGAGTATCACCGTGAAATTTGCTTGGCCCTCTGTATTATTCGTTCTCTAGACAATACGTTTCCGTTGTCTTCCTCTACGGACTGATCAGTGCACTGCCGCGGAAGATGTCGTCCTCCTTGTTTAATTCCTCGGGTCTGCAATATAAGCTGAATCTTGGATTTATATACTGAAGAACAGCAACCGCATTAGCATTTTACGATCTTTGATCGGTTTTCCGAGAAGCTTGGCTGAGTTCAGTTGTTGGGCCAGTCATTTTCACCGAGGAAAATTGCCTGCTCTCAGTCGGCTACAGCTCAATAGCATCTTTAACAATGTTCTCTCATCTCCTGCGCTTCCAGGATCGCACATCTTCACATATCGATGCCCACTTCGGCAAATAGCATAGAGAAAAAAAGACTATTCGCGAGAATACTTATTATTTTGTCCCTAGGACTTTGATCTCCTGGTCAATTCCGGCTCTATATCAATCTTGGCCTCCACCCGCAGATTCTTCTCTCATTCTCCGTTTGGAAACAAAGTGAGCCTGCTTCAGTTTCCCTTGGGCCTCGAGTGCAGCTTCCAAGTCCTTGAGGATGCCTGTCGAGAGACCCACCTCCCTCTCGGTCAGTTCTTGGAACAGCCCAAATGCGTCGGAAGCTCTCCCGGCCTGGCACAGCCCCATCGTCACCTTGCCGCACACCTGGGCATCCACCTTTTGCTGCGGTTGCTTCAGGCAAAACAGCAGCAGGTCTCGTGCCTCGGGCAGCTTCTGGCTATCACAGAGAGAGGCCATCAACTCCTCCATCTTCACTCTATATCCGCTGTCATACAACAACCCTAGAACTTCGAACGCTTTCGCGCTTAGATCAGCCCTGAAAAGCCCAGAAACAAGCGCTGTTGAGAGGTCCAGGCTCGGCCGGATCTTCCTTTCCAGCATCGTCGTGAGCAGGTCGCAAGCTCCTTCTAGGAGGCCGCCGCCGCCGCTGCCCAGAACGCCGGACAGAACGGAGTGGAAGGTGCTGGTCTTTGGGCGGTGTCCGCTGCCGTGCATCTTCTCCAGCGTCTTCCTTGCAAAACCCACGTCTCCTCTCTTCAGGAAACCGTCGATCAGGGCTTCGTAGGTGTCCTCGTCCGGCTTGAGCTCCCTCCTCACCATCTCCGCCACGATCTCGTGAGCGTCGCGCAGAGCCCCCTCTCTGCAGTGGCCCAAGATCAAGATCTTGCACGAGGCCACGTCCACGGTGCCCTTGGCCAGCAGCTGCCGGAACACCGCCCCGGCCTTGCTCGCCCTCCCATTCCGGCACAGGTAGTCGAAGATCGGGTTGTACGCCGCCATCAGAGGGGCGCAGCAGCCTGCTGCTCTCCTCGTGAGCACCTCCTTCTCCAATAGCTCGTCCACGAGAGCCTCCGCCCGGTGGAAGTCCTCGCTTTGGCACAGCGCGCGTATCAGCACGCTGTAGGTAGCCGAATCGGGCTTCGCCTTCATACCCTTCATTTTGGCGAACACCTCGAGGGCCTCCTTGATGCAGCCCATGTTGCAGTAGGCTGTGATCAGGGTGTTGAACGTGCAGGTGTCGGGTTTGAAAGCGGCCCATTCTTCCTGCTCCATGACCTCCTTGATCAGATCCATCCTCCGGGCCTCGCAGAGCCCCTGCACCAGTGTGTTGTAGGTGATGCTGCTGGGCTTGACTCCGGAGCAAGTCATCTCCCGAAAGAGCTCCACCGCCTCCGCGATACAGCGCATCCCACAGTACCCGCGGATGACGATGGTGTAGGAGACCACGGTGGGGTGGATCTCGGGACTCTTCATCCGCATTCCGTCGAGCAGATTGTGAGCAATCCGAGTCTTCCCTGCGCGACAGAGCCCGTCGAGGAGGGCGTTGTAGGTCAGTACATCGGGCTTGCAGCCCCATCGGTCCATCTCCTTGAACAAGCGGAAGCCATCATCGACCATGGAGTTGAGGCAGTAACCCCGGATGAGGATGTTGAAGGTGCAGACGTCCGGAGTGACTGCGGCACCAGCAACATCGCGCTGGACCATTTCGTCGAAGAGCTTCCTGGCGGAGTGCGTCCGGCCGCGGCGGAGGAGCACCGACAGGAGACTGTTGAAGGAAAAAACAGAGGGCGAGATGCCGAACTCGTCGCGCATTCGCCGAAAGAGATTGATGGACTCGCGGATTTCGCCGGAGCGGGCGTGGGCGCGGATGAGGGCATTGAAGAACCGATCGTGGAGTATGCGGGCGTCGCCGGAATCGTTGGTGGTGGTCTTGGAGTCGAGGGAGAAGAGGAAGTCCGTTGCGGCGGAGAGATTGCGGCAGCGGCAGAGGACCTGGAGCATCTTAAAGTGGGCGCGGTCGTCAAGGGATAACTGAGGGCAGCGGCGGCATTGTGCCCATCGGAAGAACCTGAGGGCGGCAGAGGGCGGCTTTATGAGGTCAAGAGCGCGGACGATGGTGGGCTGGGTGAGCCGCGGGGCGAGGGCGGCGAGGGCAAACAGAATCTGCGGCGGCCAAGGAACAGGTTGCCCGTTGATGAGCCCCGCGATGGTCCGATGGAGGCGGTCGTCCTCCGCCTCCCCTTCTCCCCCCAGGTCGGCGTCTTCAAGAGACTCGAACAAAGAGGAGAGCTTCAGAGGGGAGGCGGAAGAACGGTAAGAAGATGACGAAGAAGACGAGAGCCCAGCCACAGCGAGAAACCGGTCGACATGGCGGCGCCGGCGCCGCAGCATTGCATGGGCCGCCTCTCGTCAAGGGATCCGAACAGAAATGACAGCGGACAGAACTGTGAACTTATAGTCTTCATATCTGACGAACCATTTCTTCAAAACTACGTCCTTCGATTTTCTTGCCATGAAACGTGACGAAAGAACGCCGAATTTCACAAATAGTTCTTGGTGGATTATATCTACAAAAGTCGCCAAGAATAAATATTGTGAAGCTTTTACTTCGTAACCACCATGGCCATGAAGCTGGTGAGATGATTGAGATCTTCGGTCGTCAGTCAGAGCTCTACCGATCAATCCTCTCACCGTTCCACCATCCGACGAAGTGTGAGCAGCCCTACGACATTATGAACGTCGTCATTCTTCCCACGGTGAGACGGTGGCGGAGGGAGCATGCATCTAGTGCCACGCCCATTCATTCACCACCCAACTCCTGTCCTGTATGTATATATATATATATATATATATATCTAGAGAGAGAGAGAGAGAGAGTACGACGAAGACAGAGAAGCTAATTTCTTCGTGATCCATCGACTCGTTGGAGTCTCCTCAATCTGCCTCATCTAATCGTATCCCACCCAAATCCACCTCCCTCCAACCTCACGCATTCCTCCACAAAAATAGAAGCAAGTATGGAAAGCAGAATTACGTACGCTCGTTAATCTCCAGTAGCTGTCTACAGGAGGGTAGAGAGAGAGAGAGAGAGGACAGAGAGTAGGAATGGGGTTGCAGCTCACGAAACCAGAGGTTAAAGTTTACCGAATTCACTAACGATGCAGTATCAGCTGGCCAGCACCGAGCCCATTTTCAAAGCGTGGTGGAACAGTGGCTCCCCTGGGTTGTAATGGGCGACGCGGGCCAGCCTCCGGGTGCGAAGCCGACGATGATGGAGCAGTCCACATCGATGGGATACTGCCCCGAGATCCAGGTGCCGACCTTCCACCGCACCCGCCCGTCGAGCCTGAGTTTTATTGGCAGCTGCCCGGCGATCTCGTCCCGGCTCACGTCATAGCGGAAGGAGGGGGCCACGGCCACGCCGGCGCCGGAGAGGGAGGCGCAGAGGACATTGGTGTCACCGTGACCCTGGTAGAAGGGAGGGAGAGCGGACTCTGTGGTGATCAGCTTCCCCTTGTAGGAGGCGTACGCCCGCAAGCCGTCGTAGTAGACCCCCACCCGGTCGTTGGGGTTGCTGGAAACGAGGGTGAACTGGATGGTGCAGTTGAGTGCCCGGGGGGAGGAGAGGCTCAACTGGTAGACGCCAACGTCCTTGAGGTAGAACTGGGGCTTGGCGGGGTGGAGGATGACCCACACCAAGAGGACGACCGAGAGCATGGTAAGCAAGAAGGTGCAGAGGGCGTAGAGGAACTTCTTGTTGAGCTTCTTCCCGTCGAGTCCTTTCTTGGCGCAGTGCTTGGGGGATGTCAATAAGAGAAGCTGAGACATTTGGCTCCCGGCGGCGGCGAGATGTCCTCTGGCTGGATAAACGAGGCGCCGGGCTTCTCGGAGGCGATCACATATCCCCCTCCCACGGCCGCGAGCTCCACCGCTGGTTGGATCACCGTTGGCCACGAGTGGTCGTCTAAAAGGAGTGGGTTGCTCCAGATTCGCCCGCGCTTTCTGGTCTATGGTGGCTGCATCTATGGCTGGTTTAGGTCTCCTCGCCCCTGAAGAATATACTAACCTCTAACAGTTGACTAGTGATTAGAAGAAGCGAATATGCAGATTGATTCTCTCCCCTCGGGATAATTAATCAGCTCGCGATTCATGATGGTTCTGTCGGAGAATCCATATGGGAATGTGGACCTGATCGCTGATGTGTAGAAGAACCACTGTTTGAATTGAAGTTTCAATCTTCTTTTCCTTCTCTCTCAAAGCTAAAGCTATGCGTAAAGCTTCTCTAAGTGCGCGCAGATAGATGCCTCCACCTTTACGGGCTCTCGTCGAGTCTCATGAACTAGAGAGAGAGAGAGACGCAGAACAGTGAAGGTCAAAATAACAATCGCCGATGAATCACCATGATATCAGATCAAAAAAGTGAAAGTGATGAATAAGAAAGGTATCTATTTAAAACCGAATGCAACATTTTTTTACTACCGAAGAAGATTAGTAACCCCCGTAAATGGGCTACCTACCCGCGTTCCTTCTCCATCAAGTTTGGGTGTAATCATTACTTCTCGGCGGTGGTGCGGCCGACGCCGCCGAAGCTGCCCTCCTCGGCAAGGGGGAATCTTTCAACATATCGGCTTCCGTATGAGAAGTCGAGACGAGCATCCTAATGCTTCCATCAAGGCCTGCGCGAAGAAACAGACATCAGCAATAGGGCATCTGGAACACGGGCGTAGCCGTAGTTCTACAACGGTCTTGCTTCCTTACGCTGTTGACAACATCCTGACGGAGCCGTAGATCGCTCTCGACCGAACCAGTGGAATTCTCCAGTTGAAGGAAGACAATGGGCGACAGAGGATTGCTTGTGATCCTCACCCCAGCACATCTGTCAACTCTGCACTAAGATCGAAGCACTGAGTGGATAAAGGAAAGAAACTTGACGCGACTTTCACTTAATCCCGGAATGAATGTGATAATCTACACGCAAGCGATTTCAGGAGATGTACACTGTTCGGATTCCTTTTCAGTTTCTGAATACCTCGGCATAGAAGAGATATATTGTCCTCAACCGTGTAAGCAGTGCAGGGTTTTCCTCCAAGTAATCGACGGCGGCAGGGTATTTGATCCCCTGAACATCTTTACAACCTCATAGCCTTAGTTCAGATGAAAGGAAATAAATTTGCTAAATCATACCGATGAATAAGGATATATGTGCATAACTTCCGCTAGATGAGGGATGATTATAGCCACATTACCTGATATACAGCTTCAACAACAATTTATGGTCAGAGCTTTTCGGGCTTGCTTATTTCCCCATGCAGTGCTCCCAAGCGATGGCCATTCTGCATCGCCACTGTAGACCCTCCTCTTGCTAGGGGAAGAATGAACAGAAGAATATATTTCTTTTTCCACCTCCATGCCAATCCATTTTGAGATAATTTTAAACTAGATTGGAAGATCACCATTGGGTTTAACACCCCATGGAACAAACTAAGAGACTGATGAAAAGCTAAAAAGGGCTGTCAAAGACACTAACCAATGTATTCCACGAGATAGTTATCACAGGCAAAGCTCACCACTTCTTTGCCATCAACCATCTCCTGTGCCCCTGCAGCACTACAAAATTCCTCTGAATCAGTGAGCAGTCGCACAGGGATGTTGTACACATAGTTCAGCGAAAAACCCCTGAATTTTGTAACTTTCCAACACAGGAGGCTCAGATAGAATCTCTTCGGTAATTGGGAAAGCCACAAGAATTAATCCACGCCAACAATGCCGTTGACCAAATCACTAGTGACCCGATTCAAAGACCGAGCTAATGACATTCTCTGTTCGTGATTTCTTTGGGTGCTTGTAGTTCTTCCGAGAATGACAGCGATCGGAGCACTTCAATGAAGAGGTGCCCTTCGCTCATGGCAAGGATAATCGATCATTCACCAGATGCAGAGATCAGAAGTTCAATTGATGCCTCACTGCTATGGAAAATCTCATTCCAGCCGTAAGGAGGGGGGGAAAGCAACGAAGAACCCAGGAGTCTCCTGGGGGCGCGCTGAGAACTGAAGAAATGTCGCGGCATGCCTTCCCTCGGGCCCCTCACTATTCCTCAACAGATTACAGGCTGTGGAGAAATATTGAGAGCCGTAACTTGGAGCCGGAGACCTGAGGACCTGTGTTCCTCATTCAGCTGCAGAGCGAAACGCTCTTCGGCACCGTTCCCGAAGAGAGCCAGAAACCGGATGTTTGCGGGCGAAAGTTTTTCCCCCTATCCTCAAGCCGGTAATTTCCATTTTAGGAGTGGGTGTCTCTGTGATCTACCCAGGTACAAGAAAAAAATCAACCACAGTGTCCTGTCCTTCTCAACGTGCCTTCTCTAGTCCTTCAGCACGAGCCAGCAGAGCAGAACACCATGAACGTCTTGCCTTCCTCAAGCTCCTCCGGAAGTTGAAGAAATGGAAGTGTTGCCATTTGATCACTACCGCAAGATCTTACTCCCCTCCGCCCGACAGGAAGAAAAAACGGGGAATTTCTGAGGAATATGGATAAATAATAGGTTTATGGGTAGAATAGAAACCGAAAAATGCATTCGAGCGCAATCGGAGCATGGGTACCTCGAGCCCACTTCCTGGAACAATTAGACAAGCATGCGAAGCCGCAATTTATCTGAATCATCATACTTGCATCACAACGACGTGACTTCCGGTCGTCGGAGAGATACGAAGACGAAGCGAACGCAGAGACCAGCCTGTGGGAAGGGCGTGCTATCCTCGACCATCACCGGCCCAGTCAAAATGGGCTAGGCTACGGATATATCATCCGAAGGCCCAATATTGCCCCAAAAACAGGCCTCACAGCCCTATTCTGATACAGACCATAGCGCTGGAGGGCACACTATGTAATTTTACATTCAACTTGCAAATTCCGGAGGTCTGATCGGAGAATCCGATTCCCCCCGCTCCCATTTCCAGGCATCCGGTTCGGATGCGATCCCAATATGGATTATCCGAAGATGCCCTCTTTTTATTCCCGTATTTATTTACATATTCTCCCTCTCCTCCCATTTTTCGATAAAACTTAGCAAAACTTGCATTATATTTGGCGGAAATCGTAAGAGGCGAGGAGCAGCAGGGACTACCGTGATCCTCTCCTCGTCAGATCATCGTTACCCCCTTGGCTGCTCTTATCGGACGGTGATCCATCCCCTCACGAGCTTACGGAGCAGTCGGCGACGCCGAGGAGGGGCACCTGACCGTACGCGCCGCTTCTGAGGCTCACCAGGATGTCACACCGGGCGAACATACTGGCCCAGACACTGTATAATGGCCCGACCTTGTACTTGATCCGGCCCATTAAAACCAGCCGCAGGCCCAAGGCCCCGTAGGCCTGCTCCGTCTGCAACCCGCCGGCCACCTCCGGAGCGACGGCCACGAGGGCGCCGCCGAGCAGGGGAGAGACGGCCACCGTGCTGTCCTCCTCCTGGTACATAGGCGGCAGCGGTGCCGCCGGCGTTATCGGCTGCTCCCGGAACGCCACGTAGGCGGCCAGGCGGTCGTAGAGGACGGAGGACCGCTGGTTGGGGTTGCGGATCGCCACTGTGAACTGCATCCGAGTGGAGACGACGGCGGCGGCGCCGGCGGGGGCGGTAGCGTTGAGCTCATACACGGCGGCGCCGACGACGGTGAGGCGGGGTTTTGCGGGGCGGTAGACGAGGTAGAGGACGAGGGCGGTGATTCCGGCAAGGAGGAGGAGGCCGAGGAGGCCGCAGCAGAAGGCGCGGGCGGCGGTGCCCCCCACGGCGGCTCGGCGGAGGCCCGCGGTCTTCCCCTCGGTGGCCTCGTCGCCCATCTGGGCCGGCTCCGGCTTCCTTGTCTCCTCCGTGGAGTGGAGTGGAGTGGAGGGCGGTGTGAGGGCGTGGGCGGTGGGTTTATAGGAAGAAGACGGCGGCGCTGGTGGAGAGGGAATAACAGGTCAACGGTGAGTCAGAGAGAGAGAAAGAGTGGGAATGGCATAAAGAGAGAGGCAGGATTCGTAAGCGTGGAGGAGTCCTTTCGGTGTTCTTCTCGATGCCACGTGGATAGGTTCCAGTCGACAGCGGGGTGGGGGGGGGCCTTGGTCAGGTCATCTTAAAAGTTCTCACCACGCTCTTCCATCTTCCGCGGAATATCTTCTTTTAGAAAAAATTGTACCTATACCTTTATTCCGACAGATATATTTTTAATTTACAACCTCGGAAAAGCTTAAAGCTTTCCAAATTACCCATATGAATTATATCCAAGAGAATGGTGCGACGATTAAGAAGATATCGTATTATTTTTATTTTTATTTTTCTTACAGAAAATTGAAGCATTCCGATGTAAATTATGGAGCCCTCATTTCGGATATTCGTTCGGTGTGAAGATTGCTCGATGGTATTCAGCCGACGGTGTGAACGGAGTGGTTGAAAATATTACGCGGATAAAGTGGGACAAATAATGTATCAAGTTTGGTTAGAAGTCGATAATCGAGCTTATTCTCACGGCTTAGGTCGGTGATTAACGAAGCTGGGTCTGCTCAATCTCAGTGATCAAAATGAATCGGGTTTCGAGTCCACGGCGGTCAACCCATGGTGGAAGTATTTGAGTTGACCGCGTCAGGATTGGGTCGGCAATTAGCCTCCGTGGCTAGAAAGTCAGCCACCGACTACGAGGCGGGTCCTCGGGCCTTTGAACGCGCTCCAGCGGACGGTTATCAGCCGTTGGATGAGAAAGCGGACGATGGCGATGATGATTTGCCATGGTAATCCGTCACCGTCGATCCCAAGCCATACCTAATATTTTGAGTCCACCGGCTCAGAGCCACGTCAGCTTCCCCATCTCACCCCTTACTACCCACAGCAACGTTGCCGCTGCAACACGGAGGGATGGTCGAGACGGCGGCGGCGCTATTTCGCTGAATCTCTTCCGCATTCACCCATGGCGTCTCCGCTCTTCTCTCCCCAGACTTGCCGCCTCCCTGGACTTTCCAATGGCGTGATCCCTGTGGTGGCTGCGGCCCCGAGAGACAGCAAGCCGTCGTCCGCCGCGCGGCGGCAGTGGTGGGCGCCGTTCGCGCTGCCGGCGGTGCGAAGGGCGGGATCCGATGGGACGGCCGGAGGAGAGGCGGCGGCGCCGTCAGCGCAAGGCGGCCGGGAGACGGCGGCGGGGCCGGGAAGTGGTGAGATCTCCGGGGCGAGGAGGAGATCGTTTCTGACGCCGGAGAAGGCGAAGGTCCTGCGGAAGGAGTTGCGGGCGACGGAGACCTGGCACGATGCAATGTACCACTCCGCCATCGCCTCCCGCCTCGCGTCCCCCGACGAACGCTGAACCGTCCGACGAACTCCCTTTCTCTGTAAGATATTCGCACAAAAGTTGACCAGGAATTAAGAGGATCGGAGATTCATCACGCTCCTCCGTCCTACTTCCTTTCCAGTTGTCGCCCGATCGGCTATGTAGAAAATCATGCGGTTCATGGTGGAAACTTCAATCCTCGGCTTGCTCGAGGATGAGGAAAAAATGCAGGTGATCTGTCGATCCACGCATCTTGGATCTTCCCAAATCTTGAATCGTCCAGCTTCTGCGTCCAGATTCTTCACGAATTACGGGTCATACGACGTGACGAAGTTCGCCGGTGAGCAGGGCGAACCTCCGGTGCTGCGATAAGATGGAAGGCACTGTAACTCGTTTGATTCTGGATTCCAATCCGCCATCGCCAGAGCTTGTTTTATCCTTGGCCGCATCTATTATAGTCTGGAAGATCTGAAGTGGATCCCCGTGGCAGACCAGCAAGATCGCACACCTGGAGTAGCCAGATAATTCCATTCAGATCAACCACGTGAGATGTGCGAAGAAACGAAATATCCAACAACTCTGTTCCTCAGAGAGAGAGAGAGAGGACCTTTGAAACTCGGCTTCGATCGCGGTCAAAGCAGCCGTCAGCCGGAAGACAACATCAGCGACGCTCTCTCCGCCTTCGGGAGGCCTAAAAGGATCGATTTCGTCGAGGGCCCATATCTCCGCATACTGTTCACGAGGTGCCAGGGTTAATCACAAACAGATCAAACCGCATAACTAACTAAAAAAAAGATCTGGGATGGCATTTCCTCATCGATTCGTTTACTGTTTGTAGATCGAACCTTCCGAGTAATTCACCAACGTTGCCTGTTCATTCACCCTGGAGCCAGAGGTCTAAGAACCCGGGTCCCTTCCCCACAGAGAGAGAGAGAGAGAGAGAGAGAGAGAGAGAGAGCTACTGAGGCAGACTCCGGGATTACCAGGAGCAGTAAGCAGTAAAAGTTCAGTAAGATTTGCGTACTTTATCATGAGAAAGAAGCTCGAATGACGGCCCGAAGAATCGCTCCCGGAGCTCTTCCATCGCCTGAAGGTCCCAAGACAAAGAGGCGGCAGCGTCAGTTCATATGGAAGCAGACCAAGCACATAAACATGGGAATGCAAAAGAAATGGAGGAAATGGAAGCTTGGTCCAAGGCCGGGGCTTAGAAAGATATTAATGGGCGAAGGACAGGACTGACTGCGCCCAAGTTTCATCTCACCAGTCTACACAGACCAGGGACTTCGATAAGAAGGAGAGGAGTTAGCAATGAACAAAGGGGGAGGATTGAGGGCACCTTGCACTGGGCACCGGGAAATGGAATGCCTATTGCGTTCGCCACGGCTTCAGCAGTTTGGCTCGTCCTGGAGAATGGAGAATAACAAATCCGGACATCTTCCGGCCGGACATCGCTTTCCTTAAGTGCCTGCAAATATCAAAAAATGTATTTTATAGTGTTGCAAGATATTATAATATAAATGGATGAGATCAGCCCTAATTTCGTTATATCAATCTCGTTGTCATGTGGTTACCCACCTGGGAGTTTCCCTCTCTATCCTTAGCTATGTGTATCGGCAGGCTTTGGACGTGGAGACGTACCTTAAGGAACTGTTCACCAGCCAATCGTGCCTGGGTGACGCCTTCAGGAGCGAGACCAAACTCCGCAACGATCCCGTTCTCCTGTTTAACATGTGACATGGGATTATTTGTAGGGGACGCAAAAGGGCGTTCATCCACGGAGGGAAGAGGGGGGCATCGGTCTGTACAATAAAGTTTGTGTATGTGAACTGGAGACCATTCATATTCGTCACATGCTCGGGGGGTGGGGGTAAGAAAAACCTAAGATTTATGGAAAATCCAATTTGAGCAATCATTTTGCCGAATTAAAAAAAATGACCCCAAGGCTTAAGAAATGGCCATTCCCCTACTATGAACTTTGATAATGAATAAGTGCAGGTCCTCTGGTATATATATACGGAAAACTTCATCACCTTTCTAGCAGCGTTTGTGGTCATTAGAAGGGGGAGGGGGGGAATCATAGCACCCACTTAGTCATCATCTTCCATAAGCTGGGTTACATTGCATCCTACAGAAGAAAAAAATTGGAAAAAACTGTACATTTTTCCGCTGAAATTTACAGCACATCAAAATATATTATGCAATCGACACAACCAGGTCTTTTATGCAAGGGAAGATTCAAACTAAAGGTAATCATTGTGCTTTTGAAAGGCTTTCTATCATTCCTCATTCTTCAGCAGATGCAACATCTTTGATCTAGCCCTGGGAAATCGATAGTTGGATGAGGCCAGATCAAAAGCTTGGATCAGTTCGTCGCCTCTGTGTGAGACGTTGATGTCCCGAAACTCTTTGCAAATATTCTTCAGGAACACACGAAATGTAGATTCGAGTGACTTCCTCCTCGACTTTTGTAGACGCAACGTCGCCAAACTCGTCAAGATGAGAAAATTCTGAATTGCATGGGGCAGGCATCCAGAGTTATTCATCTAAGGCTGTCAATCAACGGGGTTGGACATTCCGCTCAATATGCCTTGCGAAATATGAAATATGCCAATGCGATGAACATTGTAAATTACTTGAAGAAAGCCTTCCATCGCAAAATCTCAACCTCGACTCAAAACATCAAACCTCCATGGAGCCTGCCTCACGAGGCCTTTTGTGAGGCTAATCTAAGTTCCGTGCCATCAAGAATCAGATCTCCACCATTCCTCTAGCGGCGATATAAATCAGGCAAGGAATGCAGAGGCCGGAAGAATTTCTTCCGCGAACAGCAAAACGGCCCCAAAACGGTAACCATTCGATGAAATCCGGAAGGGAGACAAGGAAGAAGGAGATAGGGAACGGACCAAGGAAGAAACGATGATTCCTCTCGCGTTGGGGACGCTCTTCCCGTGCCTCAGGATCCAGTACCTGTTACGGAGGAACGGCGTCGACCTCTCCTCCCCCATCTCTCCGACGTCCGCTGGCTGGCCAATCGATCATTAGCAGAACAGTAATGCTTTAAAATAGGGCGTTTTCTATATACCCCCTCCACCGTAATACATCTACCCCAATTACCCCGTAAGAAGCGTATTTTATTTATAAACCATTTGACATTCTGTTTTTATGGACACCGCCCAAAAAAGTCGTCCAAATCCTTAAGGACTAGCTTTCACCTGTTCTCCATCGCCAAATCAGTCTCTTTTCTCTCTCTCACTACTTACGGGGGATCTGGCCAAGCCCATCTGAGAGGATCCCAGAGTTTCACTTGGGTCTGACTCGAAGCCCATATTTCTGGGCCCAGACCGTTGACCCCAATGAAAAAAGTCCCATTTAATGCAGGCATCCCTCCCACGCGCCAAGTCCTCACAGTGAAAAGCTTCGCAGGTTGCGCAGTAGTTCTCTCATGGAGGAAGGGGAAGGGGAAGGGGAGGGGGAAGGGGAAGGAGAAGGAGAAGGGGACGGAGAAGGAGAAGGGGACGGAGAAGGAGAAGGAGAAGGAGGAGACAACACTAAAGAATATTCTGTGTACCACCAGGAGGAAACTCTACAGGCACCCGAGTCTCCGATCCGGCCGTCCATTTCCAACCTGTAAGGCTCAAACGACAGGCACCCACTGCCTCAGAAGAAGATATCCGTCTGCTTCGACTGCGCCTTGAGGTCCTTCAGTTTCTTCAAGATGTTAGAGAAGTAATCCTGCAAGTAAGTCTCCAGCGTGACGATATCCTTCTGGTCGACCCCCAGAAGCCCATAGGTTTCACCCATGGCCGTAGAGAAGACCGTGTCGCTCGATAGAACCTGCAAAACCAGGGCTTCAGCGGTGGAAGCTTGCTCTGCTTCGAGCCTACTTACTATTATTATTATTATTATTATTATTTTCCTTTTTTCACCTCCGAAAATGCCAGTCTGTCGGCGACGTCATTGGTCCACTGGAAGAGCCGAGTGAGCTGGCGGGTCAACTTCAGGATAGAAACAGGGACGGTCGTGACACTGGCGTCTTGCCCCGCGAGCCGCTCGCACAAGGTGATGACCTGAGCAGAGCAGGGATTGATCAGCAGTTCCCATCCCATCTTACGACAGAGCTCAGACTCCTGACCGACCAAATGACCTCTAGAACCTGCGAAAAATAAGGAGAGAAGCCCAGCCAACAAACCTCTTGAGTAGTCCACGCACGCGGCCCGGCAAATGTGAGAAGCTTGTTGTCAATCTTCTCATTACGAAGAGCCATAAACGTCAATCGAGCAATATCCTGTCTAGGCAGAAAGATGAGCAGTGTGTATACGTAGATGGCAAAGTTGCCAGAAAAGGAAATGAGATGTGACCTGGGTATCCATGTAGGCTATCCGAGTGGGGGCATCAGTTCCCCAGACAGACTTCTGCTCTAGTATAGGCACTGCATACTGTCCAATTAGGCCCTGCGCCATCATTGTTGTTCGAGCAAAAATAGCAGGTCTTAGATACATCTTCCATTTATGAATGATTAAGCGCAAGATATAAGAGGAAAAATAATAAATAAATAAAATATTAAAGAGCTTAACAGAGATTAGCAACCTCATTCAGCCATAGGCCGGTGGGTCTGGGAGATCTTTTTACCAGATATCAATCTGACAAGGAAAGAAGGTCTCAGACTATTGAGGAGTCGTGTTGCAAAAAGAGAAAAGGTGATCCTCTTCCCGCGGGTACGGTCAGAGAGAGTCATCAAGTCATGACGAAGGGCGGAGTAAGAGAACAAAGGATAATATACGTCAACGTTCTACAGTTAAGGAAAGAGCTGCTCCCTTCTCTCTGGATGGTTGCAGCTATTAACGCTCGTATCAACTACATTTTGGCAAAAGTAACTATTGCCCTCTGACACAAAGACCTCAGACATTACAGTTTCCACAAACCACCTCGGTGGGTAGAGAAGATCGATAATAGGGCGCAAAAACCTTGAAATTTCCGTTAGATCTTATAGAAGATGCTTGTTGAATAACGCAATAAATCTTACTCAAACCACGTTCGTCTTATTAAATAATCTAATAGAAGAGCATTCATGGAACGATTTGGGAGACATATTACCTGCATGAAACCACATAATCTAATTATGATGTGTTTCAAACCCGAGTCTTGGAGATACTTTTCTGTGCAGTGCTTGATTTCCATTAAAGGAACCTCTGGATGCTTGTCACAGTTGTGGATGGAAAAGAACACGTACTTCTGGATTCCCATTGCTTTTGCACACTGTATGAGGGCAACTTTTCCTTCCCAATCTACCTACATATGAAAGTTAATTAGCATAGAATAAAAATAAGAGCGCAACGATAATAATATGTCTACCAAGATAAATTAGTTGTATGAAGCACTCAGTGAACATTGAGACTTACAGTCGACAACAGAAAAATGGTGTGATGAGAGCTAGATAGTGGACAACGTATTCATCAGAGAATTATTTTTCAAAATTTTAGTTCTCCTTAAAAAAAATAAAAATAAACGAATTATATGAAATATACCTGTTATAAGATCACTAGAAAAGCAACCTGTTATGGAAATTAGCATCACCATTATAGTAGATTAGCCGGGCATGCTAAAATTAACATAGAATAGCAAGAAACTATAGATCCTAAGAAAAAATGAGTTTCTATTTCTGAAGAGCCCGAAACAGATCAGACAATATCCTACGACATCCTAATTTGTCTAAAAAGAAACAAGACAGTAGACAAATTTGAATTGGATTCAACACAATATTTTTTCTCAAGGGTTGAAAATGATACAGATTAACCGGCATTCATAAAAAAAAAAGGTTACAGATCATTTCAATGGAAGCATGACACATTATAAATTTTGACAAAAAAGCATGCAATTCTACAGCGTTCTCAACAGGATGGTAAACACTTCAAGCTTGACTCGAGGAAGTCATTTCTTAGATAAATGCCATTCTTCAAATGGGAATTGACATGACTCTGCCAACATGTGGTCGCCTTCTTATGGAGCATAAATACCCATATTTCAAGGTGAGAATCCTTTAGAAGTTAGGATTGTGTAATGTTGTCTTCTAAAAGGTATACCTATAGCCAAGAGGCATACAATCAACTAATCTTGTTTAGGTCAACATATTACGGAACAACTGACAAAGGACAATTGACTGATTGACAAAGTCATGAAAAATTTTCCTCAGATGGTCGTGCTTGAATGTCTAGCATACATCACATTTAGTCATCTACAGTATCACTACATGCAACCTTGTACCCATATATGGACAACAAGTGACAAAAGGACATATTGATTGATTGACAACATCATGAAAATTTTCACTCAGATGGCCGTGCTCGAATGTCTAGCAGACATCGCATTTAATCATCTACGGTATCACTACGTGCAACCTTGTACCCATATATGGAACAATAACTGACAAATGACATATTGATTGATTGACAACTTCATGAAAAATTTCACTCAGATTGTCGTGCTTGAATGTCCAGCACACATCACATTTAGTCATCTACGGTATCACTACATGCAATCTTGTACCCATATATGGAATCCATCAAGATGAAATGGAAATACTCAAAACCCTCAAACCATAGATATGCAGAGTTGCATAAAAAAATAAATTCTAAGAATGAAGCATCATGCATAATTAAATGCGAGGTTCTAACAACAATTTATAGATAAAAGACAGTGGATAGTACTGTTCTAATAGGTTCCTCTGGCCGCCCAGTAGCACAATCGATTATTGTGTGAACACCAACCAACGTTGCAGGTATGGTCTCTGGTTTGCTTAAGTCTCCCTGCACGACATCATTGCGGCTATGAGATAACTATTAGTTGACTTCAAGTTAAAAGCCATCATTATTCTTAAGTTGGTTTGACCAAAGTATACGTCATTCCTCAAACCCAAAGCAATATAAACGGAAAATAACAATCAACAATACTGAGACCTATATAAAGTTGGCCGAGTCATTGCCCTATCATCATGTCGAAAGTATAAACACAACATGTACTTAGGAATTTCAAGTGAGTACAGCCGTCTTCAAATGATCAAAGTTCAAACAAGAAAATGGTAAAGGTACGGATAGGATATTCAGATGAAGAAACAAGACCAAAAATATATAGCAATGGTGTTATGAGTGCAGGAATAGGCATCATAAAGGAAAAGATTGCTGGATATGTCACAAAAAAACATGTTATAGAAATTTGATTTGCAGAGTCTGAAGCCGGATATAATTCCTGATAGTTAAATAATTTAAAATATTAAAGATGCTGCTGGAGACGGGAAAAAACATTAAATCTAAACATGGTTAAAAAAAGTTTTGAAACTGTCATAGTAGTCCGGCCAATGGACTCAATTACGAATTCAGACAATTAAACCCACATATATAGCATTAAATTGATCAAAAGGTTACTTATTACGGAACGGCACATAGCAAGTTACAAAATTATCAGAAGACAGTGATGAGGTCCTGGAGAAACCCAGAATCAACTAATTCATGTTTTTCTTTATAGTAGCAATCTTATCCTGGCCAATCCTGGACAGAATATTGGAACCTGGGATGTAGAGATGGCAACTGATGTACAAGAGAAAGCACAGGCCATCCACATTTTTGGCATCTTGAAATCCTGGTTTACACCAACGAATCTATCTTCATACCATGCAACAAGGCCTAGTTTCATTTCATAAAGGATTGTCAGAACTTGACAATAGTTTCTACACATATACAGTTACCGCTACATAAGGCAATAATAAAGGCAAAATTTCACGCATACATTGAACTGAACAAGAAAGTTTCTCAGTTGAAGAATGAAGCAAGATAAAAATGCTTGTTCATGGAATGGTTCTGGCTAAATTTTCTTACATTTACAACTATTGCACCCCAATCTCGAAGGAAGTCAGCTGGGGCAGGTCGAGGTCTCACAAGGCATCTGACATCATATCCTTCATCCAAAGCCTTTCGAACAATCTGTCGACCCAGTGTTCCAGTCGCCCCAACAACTAATATGCTTGTGGGCCGCACAGGGGTTCCTGGTGCCATATTAGTAGCAAATGCTGCCTGCGAATTACAGGTTACAACTAGTGGCATAGCTTGTCCGCCTGATAGTCATACGAGAAGAACAATGGTAAGAACATAGAATGACCATCTCTTCAGGACATGGGAGGATGATAAATGCAAATGGAACAAATAAATGAATAATAAATGGATATTACACGTTGGAAACAGCTTTCTTCGTATAGAATTAGGTGAGAAACTCAAAAAAATAACGTCTCCAGCTCAAAGTGAAATTCTAGGCAGTTTTCAAATACATACGAAGCGGGATTTATGAAAAGGAAATAGTCATCCCAAGTCATCTTGTCCTTAAGTCATTCCGACATGTGAACTAATCGACAGTAGTAGGTCCAGTGACAACGGTTCCAACTGAGTTTCAGCCTCCAGGTGTCCCTCTGCTTTGCATCAGGCTGTTGAAATGTGCAAGCATTTTTTGACCTTTACCTGAATTTTTCATCTTGAGAATTAATCGGCGCCATAGCAGACTTCTTGGCTATAGAAAATCGTGTTATGTTATTAGTCGATGGGCAATGTCCTAAACACATGATCTAGTCCCACAGCTGGCAATGTTCTCGCTAATGGAAGACACCCATCTTCTCAGAGCACAACCTTTTTAGTAGGGAATTTGCATTGTCGCAGTTGGTGGGATGCGTAGAAGAAATATAGATTCCAGATGGAAGCAAAGTGGGATCTATGCACTCGAAGAATGAGCAAGAGTATGGTCAAAAGCTATCTATTTGATGCCTAACAGTCGCAAACTTTTTAATACAATTTTTCGAGTGACAAAGCGCGTTATTGTTCTCTAGGCTGAAACTTTGACATCGCCCAAGTGTAGCGCGCCTCCAGCACTCGAAGGCCAGCAGACCACGCAACGCATTCCCCCCGATGATTTTCTTCTCATCAATTCTACTGCCGATTGAAATTGACCTGGAATTACACCTTGCAGGGAAGAATACCCAGTATCGACCAATTCGTGTCGTTACAGGAAAAAGCCTCGGCTAACCTATATTTACAAACACCACGGGAAACAATTTAGCTAGACAGGGCAATGCATCGAACCAGAGGGGAGACTGAGAGCAGAAAGCTTGCCTCGGTGCGCGGATGCGGGGTTCGCCACGAGAGGATACGAAAGGACGTAACCCTGGCCCGGCGTCAGCGCGCGGCCCCACGAGAGCCCTGCGTCCATCGCACTCCGGCGGCGGTAGGCGAGCGGCAGAGGGAGGGAGCTGCACCCCGAAGCCATCGAAGAGAAGGATGTCGCGGGATGGCCGCGGATGGAGAGAGAGAGGGAGAGAGGAAGCGAGGAGCTGAACGCTCTTCCTCGTCCGCTCCCATCTGACCAATAAGAGAGGGTGAACGAGGGAGTGGGCTTCAAGTGTGAGGAGGAGAAGCAGTCGATCTCAATCCCTCCACGTCGAGACGGATCACGCCATTTGTTTTCCAGCTCGGATAACGGCGGGCCGAACGGTCAGGACCCCCCGGGCCTCATCCCCCATATTGGGCCAATATGGGCCTAACCCAATGGGCCTCCCCCCCTCCTCGTCCGGCTCATTTGATCCTAACACCGGACTCAACTCTCTCGGCCAATTAACGTTCGAGAAATGGGCATTTTTTAATTGGAAAAATGAGGAAAATGATGGGCAAAATTGCATTTTTTTTGAAAAAAAAAGGGTAAAAGAACCTCATCTCTCACCTGGGAGACGCGATATCGAAGAGGGGGCCCACACGTGTGATCCAAGAATGGGTTAGGATTGCGGCAGAATGGGAGGATCCCCGGGAGTCAAATCGCCGCAACGTCTTAATCACAATCCACAAAAAAAAGATGTCTCCGTCCCCCGTCCGACGGCGAGTTCCCACGATCCGAACAGCGAGGAGGCGGAATTTCCCCCCGGGGGGGAGGCATCCAGTGGTGGGGAGCCCCGGACACGTGTCCGTATCCCTCGTTCTTATCCTCCACCGTGGGAAGGCCGCATCACCGTCAGCCGCCGGTGGGTTCCCAGCCACGAACCGCAGTCGTTTCCCCGCCACGTCGTCTTTGCGCGCTATCCATTTCCCCGCCACGCTCCGGCTTCGAACTCTTCGCCACGTGGCTGGAGCCCGGGGAAGCGGCCGCGTGTCCCGCCTTCGTGGATGAACTGTAACGCCGACATGGCTCGCTCCACGGCGGGGAGAGAGAGAGAGAGAGAGAGAGAGAGAGAGGGGGGGGGATGCGTCACAGGTTCTACGTGGAGGGTTGTCGGTTAGTGGTGAAACGGGTTCAAATTATCCCGGCGGTGGTTTCGGTTCATGGGCGGGCGCGGCTGATACGTCAAATCGGGGCAGAGAGAACGGATCCGAAAGCGATGCACTTTTGTTTGAGAGTTGGCCCGCAACCAGCTCACGTGTTTGGTTAATCCCCACTTCGCCTGATATCCCTCGAGCGGCAAGGCACCACACTGGCCGCTCCCCTCCCCCCCCTCTCTCTCTCTCTGCGTATGTCTGTCTGTCTCTCTGTCTTTCTCTCACTCTTCCCCCCTGCGGCCCATCGGCATAGCCCGCCTCCGTCCGGGGCCTCTAGACCCACATTGGCCGCGAGGAGGGAGAATTCACTCTCTTCTCTCTGTCTTTCTCTGTCCGGTTTCAAAAATCTACTGCTATAATATAGGAGGCTGAAACAATTCCCTCTCAACCTCCGGAGTTCCGTTGTTGTTTAGGGTTGCCTGGACTCGGTGAGGGGGTCGATCGTCGGCGTGGCGTGGATGGCGCTTGTGTAGACTGCGGGAGTGAGAATGAATGCCAGTTCCAGTGGCCTCGCTGCTGCAGCCGCCGCCGCCACTGCTCCATGGGATGTGATGATCAGGACAATAGGCGCCTTGCCTCTGCTGCCGACTTCTCACCGCGTCGATTTCAGGACGAGGAAAGCTAGAGTGGGGAACGGGGGGCGGCCCCGCGGAGTCGTCTTCTGCCGAGGGGACTCATCCGAGTTCCGGAAACTGGGGAAAGGCAAGGCGGTCACCGCCGCGGAGAAAGCAGAAGAATGGCGCCTCGACACGAAGAAGAGTCCCCGGAGAGTCCGGATGCAAGCTCTTCCCGCTCTTCCTTTCCCGTCTCGACGGTAAAATAATCTTGTTTTTCTTCCATCCGTTTTCTGCTGATCTCCTTTGATCATTTTTGGAGGAATTTTCGACTTTCAGCGGACAAGGCCATACGCCAACTGTTCTGACTTGGCTTTATGTAAATTGTTCTGGATGTCTACGGTTAGACTCTTACATCGACACGGTAAAGTCGTGGAGTACGTACGAGCCTTTGATGATATATGTCTTCTGGAACTGTTTGGATGTGAACCGATATTGCACGCAACTGTCATGTCGGTGTTCCACTTTGTAAATCGAAGAGGACGGCGTGTATGCATAAACTACGCTACCTCTTGTCCTTGTGCGTTAAGGGAGTAGAACATCTTTTGTGCTGATTTAGGCAGTGTAGGGTCTTTCTGGCCAGTCTTACACAAGTAGGATTTCTTTCTTCCGATAGATCTTTGTGCTGATGCTCTCTCGCAAACTAGTGTTAGGAGTGCAATATTGAACTCTGCCAATCCTTTTTTTTTATCTGTTATTCACTAAAGAAGGTTCAGTAAGTTTATTTTTATGTCGGTAGTCAATACCTCTTTGGTAACTAAATCTATTTTCCTCATTCTTATTTTAGCCGAACTTTAAAAAGTACATGGTTTTTGCTTTGAAATCTTCATACTCAAATTGGATGATGAAGCGCTTGTATTAATTAAAACAAAAAAAGTTGTAAGTGTTTGGTCGTTATATGAGACATTGATTGTATTCTTAATGTATTTGATACTTATCCTTCAGAATCCTCTGTATGAAGTAAATAGATGTTAAACAGTCTAATTAGGGGTATTCATTGATTTTCCATTGATTTATTTTTTTTGGAGACATGATGATGGCGGGTTAAAAAAAAATCGGGTCTCTAATCATCAAAGATATCGACGAGTTAATTTTCATGAGATAATTCATATAAAATATCTCTGTTAATACAATGCTCATTCCATGTGCCAGTTCTCTCTTGTGCTGTCAACTATGAAACTGGTTACTGTATCAATGTATTCTGTTTTTCTTCATTACAATCATCTGCCTTTTCAGATTTCTCTTATCAAGACGATTGAAGTTTTATCAGGGTTTTTCATTTGTCTATTCAATTATGCAGCACATGATTGTCAGCTGGAGCATTATTTTTTTGATAATTCTTTTCGGGTGTTAATGGAAAAGATTTAGAATTCTTTGGCAAAGTAGCTTCCATGCATTCTTCAGCTTTTACCGGTTTGATTTATGTTGTTTAGCATGGTCTTGAGGCATACTACCTTTACTTATGAGACTGCTGTTGCATTTTAATGATAGATCTGGATTGCCTCTAAGTTTTCCCGCTTTCTCTTTTTTAGTCCCAGAAGTGCATCCAAACCAGAAGATTTTTATCCCCGCTGCAGCCCAAGAAATACTGCTCCTCAGTCTCGTGATACTCCTCCTAAAAGAGGTCAGATCCTCTTCCTATGTTGCCTACCGCTATATTTACTTGATTAAGAGGTTTGGAAGTGGCATGGTTTCATTGTGCCATCATTCAAAAGTTGCTTCCTGTAAGAGTTCTCCTTGGCACACTTCCACGATCGAGCACCTATGTTGATCATGAGGTTTTTTTTTCATTCATGACATGTCTTGAAGATGCTATTTTGTTCATAGTTTTTTTCATTCATGACATGTCTTGAAGATGCTATTTTGTTCATAGTGTGATGTTTCTGAAAGAATATTTGGCTTCTTGATTTATTCACCCCAGACACTGGTATTGCTAATGAGAAGGACTGGGGAATTAACCTGTTAAACGAAAGTGTAAATGAGTCTGGCACAAATGAAGATGGTAGCACTTGGTACCGGGAAAGTGGAGTCGATCTTGGAGATAATGGGTACCAGTGCCGCTGGGCTCGGATGGGAGGACAATCTTATGATGGTTCCTCAGAGTGGAAAGAAATGGTATGCTTCTTATTTTCAGAAAAAATACCTTGTCTTTGGGTTTATATCATGTGGTTATTTCTGGTGAACAAGATTGGCTTTTATGATATTTTCCAATCAAGCTGTTTGAAATTCCTTTCCAGTTCATATATCATTTTGTTAGTTCTTGACTTGTAACCTGATATAAATTATGGATGTCTTAAGATGAGCATTTTCTTTTAATGCACTTTGCTTTTCTGTTGAACTGAGAAGCAATATCTCAGGATGAAGAAAATCCCTTCTATTATTTAAAGGAAATGTTTCCATGACATTCCTTTTATGTTGCATGAGAAAATCCCTTTTATTCTTTTGTGTCGAAATTCAGTATTTTTCATATCGTCTGTATAAGTATATGGCATTATTAAGTTATGGACAATAAATTGGTAAATAATACTCGGAGTGAACTTTTGATTCAATTTGGAATACGTATGACCTATCAAGCATACATGATTTTTTTGTTTTCCTTCTTTATTATTTTCTCTTGAAGTGTATTTGAGACATTTTCATAGTAACAATCTCGTGACAAATCATTTTTTCATATCATCTTTGTTTTATTTCCGTTTGCAGTTTTTGTATGAATTCATGATGCTCGCGTCAAAGATGTAGGTCTATTTGGAGATATAAAGCTAAAAATATAGAGACTTGTCCAGTTATTTAATGTGAACTGCAAATTTAGTCATACATACTCGAGGGTTGATCCTGTATATATTTTTTTCATTTATCATATTTTTCTGGAAAGCGGACAGCTCTTTATTTCATGACATGATTTGAGCTTGGATGGTTGACAATGGTCGCTATCACCTAGTTCCTGTGCATCAATCTGAAGTCAGCAGCGTTTTTGGTACGATAGATTACCCCAATTTTGCAAGGAAACTGTCAAGATAAATGTGGCTAGGATTCAGATGTCTGCTGATTGCTTCCTTGCGTAGTTGAGGTATTCCACCACGTTCTAAAGGCTGTATTGAAGGAGTATCGATTCCTGGCTTTAGGTATTCCACCACGTTTTTGGTGTGGATACTAGATTCCTGGCTTTATCTATTTGTATGGCAGAAGCCTCTCTGGTTTAATATTATCATCTTCTCATGTTATTTCCTTTCAGTCTCATACACAACGGTTTCCTGTTTTTCTGTCTAAATTTACGTTGCTAGGATGCATTTCAAGTCAAATATTGCATTATGTGCAGTTAATTTGTTTCATTATCGTCTAGTTACACCTGGTGATACACTAATATTCTTCCATTCATTTTCTTGGCAGTGGTGGGAGAAGAGTGACTGGACTGGATACAAAGAACTAGGTGTGTCATTATTTTAAATGTTGTCTAAATAAAAAATTCTTATAAATTAGAAAGGATATCTTACGTGATGAAAAAAAAGCATGCTGTAGAAACCATTGATATGTCCATGATTGGAGCCTTCCATAGCTTGAAATTTATTTATCACGTTCACCTGTTATTTCAAAACAAACTAAAACGTTTAAGAAAAGGCCATGGACAGCTCTGTGCATCCATACATATGCATAATCATTTGTGTGGTTTGCTCTGTGTATTCTCTTAGATAGTTGTGTGTGCCACCTTGATTTGCTTCATTGAAAACAATGAGTTGTTTTCAAATTTGTTTGTCCTTTAAAATCAGTGTTATAGCCCTGTAAATGATTACCAGCATTTATTATGCATTACCAAGATCCACTTCAGTAACAGTTTCCTAAAGGGCTACATTGCAATTCAGGAATAAGGATGTGCATTTCGTTTCAAGCAATTTTTTGGGTGGAAACACAAGAGACTGTACATCATTCAATACAGGGAAAAAATGTTAGTTCAAGTTTCTTTGAAACTGGTTTTTTACTCTTAGCCTTTTGGCTCACATTGAAGCTTTTGATTGGAGATTATGTTGGGAAGTAGCCTGATGCACCTACCAATATATCTTTTCTATCCATTATCATATTGGGGAATATCGTGGGTTTTGGTTCAGTGTTGCACTCATGGGATAAATAGAAGATTTTGGTTCTGTTTGACGCCACATGGAATTGTGAACTAATTTAGATTTGCTCATTCTGCTTTCTCCATACTCTCTTTCATCTGATACGGCTTTATTACCCCAGTGTGTATTGACGCTAATGCACTTTGATTGTCAAATTAATGAGGCAATCCTTCTTCTGTAGTAAACTGGCCACATAACTGGAGTTAGTCTTCATGAATTTCGTGAGATTAATGCTTTTAGCTCTTTGTCCACTGCTTCATGCCGAGTAAACATAGAATTGTGAAGTTATTCCTCAACCCTTCTACCTTTACTGCTAGGGAATTTAGAAAATCAAATGAGGCACAATGTTCGAATGTCTTGAAAAGAAATGATAGTGAACTATTTATTGTTTTACATAATGCAACTCGATCAGCATTGCACATAACCCTTTGCTTTAAATTTTTCTTCTTGGTGGGAATGACAAAAGTTCATCCTACCTTGTTGATTGATGTTTATATGCTCTAGGTGTGGCATTCTGATCTTGATAATTTTATTAATGTAAGTCACTACATTCTATCTCTGTGTGAATCCTTTGTCCTCAATGAGGGGTCCACGGAGCTGCACCCCTTCTCACCTGGTCCATGGACGTCCTCTCTCCATAGGTGTTGAAAAGTTGGGCAAAAATGCTGAAGGAGATTCATGGTGGGAAACCTGGCAGGAAGTCCTTTATCAGGATGAATGGAGGTACTATCTAAATTTAATTAGGCTGTTTTGATGCAGTTTTACCGAATTTGCCATTTATCTTTTTAGGCTATCGTTGTATTCAAAGGGTGCTAATGATTTTTCAATGAAACTAATGTCAATGTCATGAATTGGAAAGTTCCTTTGCAGTTCCCTCAGAAACAAGCCAACAGAATACAAAATCATGATTCTAAAAATCTCTCGGTGGTGTTTCCTGTTGACCTTTACTCACCCGGGGACAGAGCTTTGACTCTTATCAAGCAAACCTTTAACTAAGCGTTGTTTTTGCCCTATAAATGTTTTACTTTCAGCGTAATTTGTGGTTCAGAGGTTTCTTCGACGGGTTTTTTTTTTAAAGTACCCAGACTAGGTTGTTGTGAAAATGGTTTTCATTTGTATGATTCTCTGTGAAGATTCATCAAATTTAATCACTGTTACATGAGTATGACATCATGTTGTCAAATGCCTTATGGTGGAATCTAACGATTGAGAATTATTTTCTTTCTTTGGGTTCAAGGAGAGCAGATTTCGGTTTTATTTGAGTCAGAAGCCATCCTTCTGGCTAGGGATTGTTAGTAGTTTGCTATAAACGCCATCAGAAAGCAAAAAGCCCGAAGAATGAATAAAAAATGGAATACTGTAGTGGTGCATTCGTCAGACTGTGGTAAAGATAAAAAATCACGTCGAGAACCCTGTGTTCCACAAAATGTGGACAATCCGCATGTGCACTGTGAATGATGTGACGTCCACATTTTGTGGGCAATCTGAATGAAGTCCACAAAATGTGGACAATCCGCATATCTTAAAAATGTTGATGGTTCACACAAGATTGTTAAAGGAGAGGACGACATCATGTACCTTGTCTTAAAGAGATACAATGCAATATTTTTATGAAACCTGAGAAACCAACTATTGTTTCTTCCTCTGAGTTTTGAACTGGAATTTTTATCTATAAATAAAGTTTTCTTAGAATGAAGTGCCTATAATTTATCAGTGGGCTATGCATGACGTATTGACAGGCTTGATACTAAATACAGTCTTTGTTTCTATATCAACAAACATCTTAAGAAATCTACTGTGAAGCCTTTTGATTTAGAAATGGTGAATAAGCTTACAGTGTGGAGACCAGGAGTCTGAGCCTTGAGGATAACATGCTATACTTTTTTCTCCGTCCATGTTATCTTATGGGTTCTTCTGTGAATTAGGTTAACTGATGGACTTTTTCGATAAACCTTGATAGCGAATTTGGAAAAGCTCTAGCGTGAATATTTAGTGTTGGCTTTGCACCTGTAATATGTTGGGGAAAAGATGAATGCAAGTTGAGGATGGTCAATGACAGTTCCCCTGGTTCAGTTACCGATAATGAGTCGTGACTCGAGAGCTATAAGCTCTTTTTTATTTTCGTTGTTGATAAACCTTGGTTTTTTTACTTTAAAAATGCAGTAACCTTGCAAGGATAGAGAGAAGCGCTCAGAAGCAAGCAAAGTCGGGGACTGAAACTGCTGGTTGGTACGAGAAGTGGTGAGTAATATTTCCGGTGAATTTGAAGTTGAATGGTTTATCTGCATTCATCATGTCAGGTTGAGTCATTCATCTCCAAAATTAGCTTTGTCTCTACATTTGGCTCTTCTGTCCAGGTGGGAGAAGTATGATGCCAAAGGATGGACTGAGAAAGGAGCGCACAAGTATGGCAAACTGAATGAACAATCATGGTGGGAGAAATGGGGAGAGCATTATGATGGAAGAGGATCAGTTCTGAAATGGTTTCTTCCAATTTTCTCTCATTTCCTTTCATTTACTGCTGTTCTGCTTCTATCCGATGCTATGCCAAGTGTTACTCAAAATATGTAAAACTACAAAGCAATTATGCGGGCTTGTTAGCCATCATGGTGAAAATAACTTCAAAGTAGAACTGAATGACCGTTAATAGATGAGATACTGTAGAAAGCAGTAGGAGAATGACTCATGGTTTCGTCTGAGAGAATTCTTCAAAGTAAGAGAATTATCTTGAAATTCGGTTGGCATGGAAATCAGTTCAAGATACATTTCAAAACAGTTCTGCTCCTTATTCCTTCATTTATGTTAACTACTTGTAGTGCAGCTGCAAAATGGGTATTTGGAAAAAGGGAATGAAAGACCTTTTGACTAGATTTCTGCATAGAATTTTTCTCAGGCTTGTTCATCAATTTATTGGTGATGCGATGTAGCCTCCAATGTGTCTCCTGTTTAGATCCAAGTCTGTTGGAGCAGTAAATGTGGATATTTCATGTGAAATAATGCTTCCCTAGGAATTTTGATGTCATCAATGCACGAGTGATTCACAACATATCACAGCGCTATTCAATCTTTAGTGAATCCACGACGAACTTCAAGAGCTCCTTCATATCATGCCAGACAGATTGCTTCTTATTTTGATGCCATTTCTTATTATTAGTATCGTATTGACCTCATTTTACTGTATTTTACTTTCTTCTCAGGACAGATAAATGGGCAGAGACCGAATTAGGTGCTAAATGGGGGGACAAGTGGGAAGAGAGATTCTTTGCTGGAATAGGTTCTCGTCAAGGAGAGACATGGCATGTATTCCCTAATGGCGACCGTAAGTTGATTTTCCATTTCTCTCTATGCCACTTTTTACACGTAGCCATCATTCCGCATGCATTTTTCTTTACTCATTTTGCTCCGTTTATACTTGCAAACAATGCATCTGCATGTAGGATGGGTTATGAATGATGAGAAATTATTTTATCCAGCATCATATAATAGTGGATCAAAATTTCAGTTGCTATTTTATGAATGCATCAATATTCTTACGTATATCTTGGTACATCTGCATGTGCGACTTGCTCTCGATGCACTTGTAAGAGTGCAACATCATATCCATGGCTCTGCTAGCATGCCAGAAAGCCGGGTCCTCAGACAGAGGTCCTCCAGTTATGGGGACATTATTTTCCTGCAGTGACCCAATTCCCCACCCAGTATGCACTTCTCTCCAACTCTTTTCCTTTTGCTTTACACGGACGATCTGGAGTTCTTAACACGAAATTAACCAACCCCCCCTACACCCACTCCGAATGAAGGAAGAGCGTGCCTACTCCGAGTTTTATCTCCTTCTTCACCTTTTCTCACTGAGAGGATAATAATTCGTCATTTCTCAAGTGTCTCCCTCCAGGGTAAGCTCTTTTAGCGCACCTTTTCCATCTTGAGAACCACGGATGCGGATCATTGACTGACCAGTATGTTGCTATATTTTTTATGCTTTACCTGACCAGCCATCCATCACGACTGTATAAGTCATCTTTTATTCATTGGGAAGTAAACGTGCCCACCGAGAGTTTATCACCTTTCCCCAGAAGTGTTTCAGTTGTAGAGTAGAGAAATCCGCCCCTTCTCCTCAAGAGTTGGCTGTAACAATACTGACGGAGGCTTCTCTTGTCCATTTGCCAACGTCAGAAGTCAATCAGAACGCTTAAGGGCTGTGCACATTGATTCTAACCTGATGTCTTGGTTCGTTGCAAGGGATCTCGCATCTCATCAAACCTTTGCAAGATCGCCGTTTCACAAGATTATAAGAAAGGAGTATAACCAGCTTGAGGGTGGCTGATGGTCGACGCTGTAGAGGGCAATGGCTGCAGTCACGAAACACTCCTATTCATTTCATGAAAAATATATTTTTCCTAATCCCTAGTTAACATGCATGAATCTGGTGCCGCGGGTTTTTGTGAAATCTGAATAATTTAGGAAAATGATTTTGGTGCGGAATATTGTAAACGCTGACATAATTCCACTCAAAGATAATGGATGATGATACACCAACTAGATGAACTAATGTGCCATAATTCCTGCCAATCGGCGTTAGTGTTTTCCTCTGGTCTTATTGATTGGTGATTCATACGCATACGTTTGCCGTGAGTGTTCATTCCGTATTGGCCATTCATCTTAACATCATCCTGTTGGGTTTTATGATTTCATCAGCCGGAAAATTATAGTGGTCACTTCTCTCTCTCTCTCTCTCTCTCTCTCTCTCTCTCTCTCTCTCTCTCTCTCTCTCTCACTTCAGAAATTGCTTACATGTTTTTATGAACTGATAACTTTCTTTCCATAGCTCAGGTTGGTCAAGGACCTGGGGAGAAGAGCACTTCGGGAATGGGTAAATTCTCATCCGTTCCTCGTGATACTGCATTTATCCGCCAATCCACGTCTAGGTTCATTATGTGTTCGATTTCGGGACAAACCAAGGAAACGGGAGTTCGTTTCGCTGATTTTATCAGTAAAAAAATTATACATTAGTTTTGATCACATAATCGACATCGCATGTTGACCTTGCTGTTCCAGGAAGGTTCACAAATATGGAAAGAGCACCACGGGAGAAAGCTGGGACATTGTCGTGGATGAGGAAACCTATTACGAGTAAGGAATGGATAGATGGCCTCCGGTCTGATCCATTTTTACACTATCCCTTGGTTTTTCTGGGTTAACGCGTGTGTTCTCGTGAAGGGCCGAGCCTCACTACGGATGGGCCGACGTCGTGGGGAACTCTAGCCAGCTGCTCTCGATCCAGCCCCGAGAGAGGCCGCCGGGGGTCTACCCGGAGGTTGACTTCGGCCCCCCGCCGCCGCAGCCCGAAGACTCGCCGGATGCCTCGTCCCCAACGTAGTGAGGACCCCTGGCGCTCTGTTTTCTTTGCTGAACTACCTGTAGAAATTAACAAAATCCGAAGCCGATTCTATTTTTTCATTCTTTGATTTTCTGCGACGCTCGGTCTTGCATCCTTCCTATGCGACGTTGACCTGTCGGAGGGTTGTGGGGGTAGATTTTACTTTTACTTGGCTACCTCGGCATCAGCGACCCCGAGGCGTCGGATATGACGGCGGTCAACGCTTGCGGGAGCGTCCGTGGAGAACATCCCAAACCGGTGAGCAAGTCAAACCGTCCGTGGAGAACTATGACGGCTTCCTCGTACGCACGTGCATAAGATCGCAGAGCAGTTCTCATTGCCATGTTAACGGCGAGCGATAAGTCGTCGATAATAGGCGGACGCATCTATGGGTCCTCTCAGACATTCCAACCTACCTCGCATCCCCATTTATTCTTTGGTAACCGCTCCACGATTTATTCCGCTCTCGTAATTGTGGGCTTCGAGACCTGGACTCCTCTCTCTCTCTCTCTCTTCCCGTTGGCATTGGAATGGAGAATAGGAGGCGATGACGATCCACCAGCCAGAGAGCCTGTAGCACCACCACCGTCCACAGCCGGGCCTCGCCGGCGTGATGATGAAACGGCTGACAGGCGCAGTCGGCAGGCGCATCTCTCTCATCACCCCCCTCTCTCTCCTCCTCCTCGTCTTCCTCTGTCTAGTGTACCCACCCGCGAGCCCCGTCTTCCCCCTCCCTCCGAGCTCATCTCTCCTCGGCCGCTGTTCATCCGATCCTCCTCAGCTGCCTTCTGCTCAACGAGGAGATGCGGTGGCGGAAGGGGAGGTTCTGAGGGGGAGGAAACCCCGGCTGGGCAGCTCCCGGATCGCGGTCTGCCTCGTCGGCGGCGCCAGGCGGTTCGAGCTCACTGGGCCGTCCATCGTGAAGAACATCCTGGAGGAGTATCCCAACGCCGACCTCTTCCTCCATAGTCCGCTCGACAAGAATGCCTTCAAGTTCTCCATCCTCAAGGGATCCCCGCGGGTCGCCGCCGTCCGCATCTTCGTCCCGGAGCACATCAACGAGACCGAGCAGCAGGCCAGGGTCCTCACCTCTCACGGCTCTCCCAATGGGATCCAGGTACGCTGCCCTTTCCTGTAGAGAGAGAGAGAGAGAGAGAGAGAGAGTAACTTGCTGGTTAGGCTCATCTGATTGCTTTTGCATGGCCGTGAAATTCTGGCAGGGCCTTCTTCAGTATTTCAGCCTCGTGGAGGGGTGCCTAGAGATGATCAGGGCTCACCAGACCCGCAGAAACTTCACCTATGACTGGATCGTCCGCACCCGCGTGGACGGCTACTGGTCGGCGCCGCTTGATCCTGCCATCTTCGTCCCCGGCGTTTACCTCGTCCCACCGGGCTCCCGGTACAGCGGCCTCAACGACCGGTTCGGCGCCGGCGACCAGCGCACCTCACTGGCTGCCCTCTCCCGCCTCTCCCTCATCCCCCGCCTTGACGCCGCCGGCCGCCGCGGTCTCAACTCGGAGTCCGCCTTCAAGGCCCAGCTGGACGAGTCCCATGTCCGGTACGGGGAGCATCCTCTTCCCTTCTGCGTTCTAAGCGACCGCCAGTACGGCTTCCCGCCGGCAGGGAACGGCGTGCCGGTGGCGTCGATGGGGAGCCGCGGGCCGCTCAGCGGCGCCAAGTGCCGCCCCTGCCGACCGGCCTGCATGGGTCTGTGCATGGAGAGGGTGGGGAAGGCCCTGAACGGGGAGTGGAGCTGGACGGAGTGGAGGAACGGGAGCCTGGAGCTGTGCGATGCCAGAGGGGGATGGGAGGATGGCTGGGAGAGCATATTCGACCGTACCGTCGGGAGGGAGGCGGCGACGGTGAGGAGGCGGATAGCTTCCCTCTACATGGCCACCTGCGTTAAGGACCTGGAGGAGCTGAGGCGGAAGTCGGCTAGCTGGGACGCGCCGCCGCCAGCCGATATCTGCCAGAAAAAGTCATCGTAACACGTTGAATTGTCTATTTCTTGTCAATTTTTTGTGTTTATACACAAGGCTTCTCGAGCTGCAGTGGAGATGGATCTAAACATTATGTCAAGAATTAGACGATTGTTTCCCAATCTTGACTGCGAACGTTTCTATAAACAAGCGGTCAATCGGAAGATCAGAGACGTTCCTCCAGCCTGTGGGTTCACCGCGAGGGGTCGGCGGTGGTGCCTCGTGCATGGTATCTCCAAGACGAAATCAACCTTTCGCAGCTTCTGGGAAGCTGGACCAAGTCGGACGAGTATGAACGGAGATGGTCAACACCTACTTACTCGGGCCAGTGGGAATAGAAGAGATATCGCATCTCTTTCTAATGACGATTGTAACTGGGGAGTTATGTTCCCAAAACTTAGTTTTCATCTCAGTGCCGGCATCTTGGCTCGTAGTCGTCACTGGACACGTGAATGCACACAGACACCGCATGCGCGAACGTCCCCGGTCATCAGATCAGTGTTTCTCTCAGAATGACTGAGAGAGAGAGAGAGAGAGAGAGAGAGTCTCATGAGTTGAGACTAACTCCACTGCAGATATAACCATACAATCTGGTAACCGGAGAGGCAAATGGCCCGAGAACGTCAAAATCAAGCCCAGAAAGAAATATATTTAAAGATAATTATTCCTGTTAATATGTTTTTGTTTGTCTCTCGTACTATAATCTATATTGGTATCGTTCATTTAATTTTTTGCATGCATTAATCACGTCTATCGCGTAGGGAACTCGACCTGGGTGATTCCATCATCAAGCGCTTTTAAAGCCCGATGACCAAAAACTCTGCGGTCTCCTTCTAGAAGATAAATGACGCAGTGAAAATTCGAAGAATTGATAACCTGATCACGTTTCAACTTTGACTATATATTTTGAAAGCAAAATCACGACCTTGAATCTGAAAGGAACGTGTCTTGGTTGAAAACTCCTTGCCCTGAATCCACAGAATCAAAAGATTTCGCCCCTTGAGTCTACAAGGGGTTGATCCTAAGTCCACAAGATCGAAAATAACACCTTGAGTCAACAGGGATATTGGAATCCACCAGTAGAAGAGAACCTCCAAAATTGATTCATAAAAATATGACTCCTTAGGGCTACAAGGTATGACCTATTTATAGGTCGAAAATTAATTATAATTAACCTATAAAGGGAGAAATCTGTTAAGATCCTAGAAAATAAGGAGAATAAAATTGATTATACCTTTTTATGAAAAATGAGGATTATGTTAGAAGGCCCCTAAGAAATAGGAACGCCCTAAATAGAATAATAAATATTTTACATGAATAAAATGTGCAAATTATAAAATTTAGGCTCACTAAATATGTGACCAAATCTCTTAGGAGACCATTTGAAGTTGAATTTGGGCAGAAGTAACATTCTATTGCTTTTTAGCCTTCTCGACGCAGAACTTATTACTTCCTCCACATAGGTCAAAAACGTTTCATTCCTCATCTGACAGCAGTTTCTAGGCTACATTAATAAATAGCGTCGACGGAGCACGGACCTAAAGCCTCGCCGCAGCTCCTGCAATCTCAGACACCTCATCGCTTTCGGGTCGATACACTGAGATCGTCGCCCGCCCACCTTTCGCGGCGACGGCCCCAAGAGAAGAAAATCATCGACGGGGCCCGGCGAAGCCCCGCCGAGATCTGAGTGACGGGGTTGGGTGGGAGTGGCGACGGGCACAGATTCTGGTTTCCGTGGAGCTTTCCGAGGAGGATCGATGGAGGAAGTAAACTAGGAGGATCTGCAGAGGATTAGAGCGGTCCTCGGCAGGGATCTTTGGGAAATCGTCTCGCAGCAGTCGAGTGGGAAAAGATGATGCAGCGAACAGGGGGTTCGGAAATTTCACAAAATCAGGGATCAGCGAGTGAAATAACTGAAAAGGCGCATAAAATATTTTCACTTTTCATCTATTGAACACAAATACAGGCAACCGTTTTAGATACAAGAGAGCCTCCGGCGGCGGAGATTAGAAGCAAGAGCCGGCCAGAAACTGGTGGACGACTCCGTCCACCACAATGGTGCTTGACCCGGGTTGCTTCCTTATGTTCTTGAGGTTCATCATCAGCCTAACTCGCCTCGCATCGTCCCATCTGCTCATGGCCGCGTACGCGTTGGACAGTTGGACGAAGGCGGAGCTCTCTCTCGGACATGAATCCAGCAGCCTCTTCGCTGCCAGCTCCGTCCGCGCGAGGTCCCCGTGGCGCACAGAAGCACCCAGCAGGGATTCCCAGAGGACGGAAGCATCGCCCTTGAATGGCACACAGTCTATCAGATCCTCGGCCTCCTTCAGAAGCCCCGCTCGGCCAAGGAGATCGACCAGGCAACCGTAGTGCTCGACTGCGGGTCCGATATTGTATTCTTCGACCATCTGATAGAAGATCCTTCGCCCCTCGTCCAACAGACCATTGTGGCTACAAGCAGAGAGGACACTCAGAAAGGTGGTCGCGTTGGGCGAGAAACCCTCGGCCAACATCTGCCGAAAGAACAAGATAGCGTGCTCCCCACGGCCGTGGCTGCCCAATCCATATATCATCGAATTCCAGGTGCTGACGTCCTTCTTCAGAGCGCTGTTAAACAGTTGCAGAGCCTTCTCTATGCACCCGCCCTTGGAGTACAGGTCCACCAGCGCTGTGGCCAAGAAGCCGTCCACTCTGAGGCCGTTCTTGCTCGCGTAAGCATGGAGCCACACACCTTGCGCCAGCGCCCCAGCCTGCGCGCAAGCGGATACCACGTTGATCAGCGTGCAGCCGTCAGGCCGCACCTCTGAGCTCTGCATCTCGCGGAAGAGAGCCAGGGCTTCATAGAAGAGGCCCTCACGGATGAGGCCGGTGATTATGGCGTTCCAAGAGACGACATCTTTCACCGGCATAGCAGTGAAGAGCTCCATCGCCTCGTCGACGAGCCCCAGCTTCACGTATCCAGATATCACGAAATTCCAGGTCTCTGTAGTTCTCTCGGGCATTGTATCGAACAGAGCCCGTGCGTCAGTCATAAGTCCCTGCTCTACATACGCACTGATGAGCGCGTTGTAGGATACGTGGTCTCTATGTGTCATTCTATCGAACAGCTTGCGCGCCTCTATGGTGAAACCGGCGGACGCCAGCCCGTGGATCAACGTGTTCGTGACGAAGATGTCGGAGTCAAGACCCGACTTGAGGGCGTAGGCGTGGACCTGGCGGGCCTCCTCGGCAGCTTGGAGCGAGGTGCAGGCCTTGAGGACGAAGGGGAAGGTGAATTTGTCGGGGACCGCCGGCGAGTGGAGCATCCGTCGGAAGAGGAGGAGCGCCGCCGCGGGGTTGCCGGAGGTGGCGTGCGCTCGTATCATGGTGTTCCAGATGAAGGAGCTCGGAACGCCGACCCGGGCGAAGAGGGAGTGGGCATACGCCACCGCCGCCGGCCGCTCGGCTTCCGGAAGGCTTACGGCGGAGGAGACCAAGCGGCCGGCGGCGTATGGCGAGTTTATGAAGCCGGTCTTGAGCATGTGGGCATGAGCTTGGCGGATATGGTCGAGGGACGATGCCGTTTCAGTGAAGGCCAGAATGGCCGGCGTGGGCGCAGCAGCGGATGCCGACATCTTCTCCGGCGAGAGATAGGAAGCGCCGCCGCTGACGTCCTTCCCCTCAGGCGGATCGTGTTGTGCTGGGTAGTCAACGATAACCGTTAGTCAGGGGAGGAGACGCCCACGTCGCCAGAGGATAATTAGATTTAGTGGAACCCACGGCCGCGGAGGGTGGGTCCGTTGGAAGATGGCGGATAACTGACTGAAAGAAACCGCGAAGTTGAGGTTTGAAAGCAGGCAGGGAGGGATCAACACGAGGATGGCAGGAAAAGGGTGAAGGGGAGAGAGCAACTGCCCAACCGCACGTTGGGCAGAAGAGGAAGAAGATATGATGGGTAGTTCTCAAACCGTCTCGCCATCTTAGTTATGAGAGAGCAAGCCCAACGCCGCTGACTGATCGTCGCCGCCGATGAGCAACCCAAATCCCAGAAACGCCGAAACATTGGAGCGTCCAGCCTCCGACAGCAGCAGCAGCGTCATCGTCGGTGGCAGCTTGCAGACGGAGAGAGGAAGGAGAGAGGAATTGGAGGTCGTCGATTCCTTGGGCATTTCGCGAACCAGGTCCAAGAGAAATCCCGACCTTATCGCCGACGAGGTAACTGCCCCCTGCAGCGAGTGCGGCAGGCGGTTCTGGTCGCAGAAGGCCCTGTTCGGGCACATGCGGTGTCACCCAGAGCGGCAGTGGCGCGGCATCAACCCTCCGCCCCATCTCCGCTGTCCCCACGCGGCGTTTGAGCGCCCGCCGCTGCCGCTGCCGCCGCCGCCGCAGCCGCCTGGCTCTCTTCGCCCTCCAGCAGACCACAGCCAAAGCCATAATAGGGAACATGAAGCCGCCAGGTACCTCGTCATGCTGGCGAAAGGGCGGAGCTCTGCCGACGCGGGAACCGTGGACGCGCCGGTGGCGCCTCTCCCTCCGCCTCATTTGAACTCCCAATTCGAGTGCTCCATTTGCAAGAAGGTGTTCCCGTCGTACCAGGCCCTCGGAGGCCACAGGGCAAGCCACAAGAACGTGAAAGGCTGCTTCGCCAGGGCGAGGGTCAACGAAGGAGATGAACCTTGCGGGACAGGACGCGGCAGCAAGGAAAATCCCACAACCAGCAGCGGCGAGGACGACGAGAAGAACGCAAACATGGTCTGCTGGAGTGCTTTCCCCGGCGACCAAGCTCTCGCCGGGCAGAAGAGGTCCGACTGGGATGAGTGCGGCACCTCGTCGACAGCTCTCAGTGGCCATGTCCCGGATTTGAACTTGGCGCTGCCTTTCGAGAACAAGGAGGACAGTGGGTCTTCCCCTGATCCCGCTTTGGACCTCAAGTTGGGGACCTGAAGAGGATCACTATCCTGCGATGAGATCCAGCAGAGAGCGAAGGTCATGGCCGACCTCGTCCCGCTTTGGACTTCATCCTAGTCTTCTTTTACAAAACTCGAAACATAGGAACCGCCCGAGCTGGACGGACGTTGTACTTGTTAGCCTTCTTAGTCAACAAAAATGATGTGTTCATATGCATCCCATGTAACCTCGATTGGCGAATCTGATCTTGTCGCCGCGACAAGTCAACCTTCCGAGCAATGTTCAGGCCGAGCTCCAGGGTCAACGCGTCTCACCTGGGCTGGGTATCAAGGGTTCATACCGAAAGCTTTACAATGCATCTCCTACAAGATTCTGATTTTAAAAGATTTCAGACAATGAATCTAGGTCAAACCGGTGCTACAGCCCAAGCCATGCCCAGCTCTCCGTACAGAGAGAGACAGGAACAGAGCGGGCCGTCGCTTGAGGTGATCATAGAACAAACCACATGGCAAGAAAAACAAGTGCCAAACTATGAAAGCAGGAGGCTTGAATACCGCATACCTTCCTCGACGAAGATACAGGAGAAAAACTTCGAATGGTTTGTCCATGATATACTAGAACACCTCTCCCTCTGCTGGTCAGCGCTCTGAAACGACTGAGGTAAGGAAGTAGGTAGACAAAGTTAAGGTACCCAGATGTATGACCACCCTCAGAACAGGGTGGGGGGGATAAGACTCAAGATGAATGATCGCTCCTGCACTCACACAGCCTTCAGAGATCTTCAACACGAATAGCAAAATCTAATCAGGCATTTCATCACTGCGAAACACTTCGCTAATTTTAGCAAGAATCCAAGAACAACACTTGTTGACCGTTCTCTTCTGACTTAGTCAGGCCCATCATCAAGCATGGTGAGCTCACGGCAGTGATTTTCAAGGGGAGAAAGAACAGAGTTCAGGCGGAGGAGGGGGGAATGTGATTATAGGAAGCATTTTAAAATCTTTTTTTCCACATAATACAGAAAAACCATACCCAGCTTCAGTTTTTTGCGATCAAAAGTGAGGAGGGGATATTATGAAATCTGCATGGATGATCAGGTCTCATGCTTGGAACACAACCACACCACTTTGACAGAATAATTCCGCATCCAGGTGGAATGCCACGTGGGAGGAGGGCCTTTCTCATTTGGGATTGGATCATACAGTGAGTGCAGAATATCAAGCTAGTGCTTAAGAAAAAAAATCAATTCTCAAAGAGGCAGCAAAAAGCAGTCATGCAGGGAATCTAGAGGGACCAAAATGAATTGATCTTGTGGAAAAATATCAACTGAAAGGCAGCAACACCCTAGCCCATCGGCTCTGCATCAATCCAAAGCTCCATGTGGTGACATTTTCTGAAGCTACACTGCAGCATTGTCCACCTAAATGGGAGGAAAAGGACGGTGGGGGGATCACATGGCCCGGAGAAGAAATAAGATCATGGGAGACAACGTGTGTCACCAAGAAAATTTCCTCCTAGCCATTGGACACTGCACTTCCATGCTCTGCTGGAGCCAATTATCTGTTAAAGTTCATAATGACAAGCTTTAACTAAGAGTAAGAGCGATCGCCGATTGTCCAACGACCCTAATATACGATTCCATTCATGAAAGGCACAGATATGCATCGTGATCAGCGCGGATAAGAAAGAATAACATAGAAAAGCAAAAGCCGGATGAAAACCAGAGTGGCTATGCTTTGATTTTCTTTAGCAACTTTAGTGAGCTCTCCAATGGCAAGTACGCTGCAACGTCGGGCAGGCTCTTGCTCTCCAGGGCATAATCAAACACTGAGTAAGCTTCCGAGACCTTGTTCTCCCGACACAGGGCCCGCACCAGTGCAGAATATGCTCCCGACTCCAGCTTCATCCCGGAGGCAGTCATCAGTCCGTACAGCTCCATCCCCTTGTCGAGGACTTTGGCCCTGCACAATCCCATGAGCAGGGTGTTGTAAGTGCACTCGTTTGGAGTGCATCCCCTTGCGTTCATCTCCTCCAGAAGCTTTAATGCATCCAAGGCCCTGCCCTTCCTGAACATCCCATTCATCAGCGCCGTGTATGTGACGGTGTTTGGGAATTGCCCCCTCTCCGTCATTATATTCAAGAACTTCAGCGCCTGATCCATCCTTCCGGACTTTGACAGCCCGTAAACCAGGGTATTATAGGTTACCAGGTCGGGCTCGACCCCTTCTTCCCTCATCTTGTTGTAGACCGCGATGACCTCGTTCCCCCGGTCAAGGGTGCAGTAGCCCTTCATGATGGTGTTGTAGAGATAGCAATCGGGCTTGAAGCCAGAGTCTGCGAGCACCCCGAGTAACCGCGTCGCCTCTCGCAGATTCTTCCCTCTGCAGACGGCGTCGATAAGGATCGTGTAGGTGACGAGGTCAGGCTTGACGCCAACTGCGGAGTGGAGACCGCTGATGAAGTCGTAGACGGTGCTCAGGCTTCGGGTTTTGCACAGTTGTCGCACGAAGAAGTTGTAGGTAAAGGCGTCAGGCGGTGCGGAGTGCCGAAGGGAGAGGACCCGGATGAATTCGCAGGCATCGTCCTCACGGCGAGCGGAGCAGAGAGAACGGACGGCGAGGTCCGCAGTGGCCGGCGTGGGGGGGAGGTTATTCTCGACCATGAGGCCGAGGGCACGGAGGGCGCCGGAGATGTCGCCGGGGCAGGGCTGGAGACACGAATGGACGAGGACGATGTGATAAGAGGAGCGATCGGGGGAGAAGGAAGGGGCACGAAGTGACATGTGGTGGAGGAAGGCAATGGCATCCTCTGATGTGGCCCCCGCGTTGCAGAAGGCCTGCAGGAGGGAGTTACAATCCAGGCGGACGGGAGAGGAGACACTCGACCGGCGGGAGGAGAGGAGGAGGGAGTCGAAATCCCTCTTGGCATCCGAGAGGCGGCGAGATTGGAAAACAGACTGAGGCGCCATCAGCAGAGGAGGGACAGCACTGGCCGTCTTCTTCCTCTTGAAGGACGAGGGAGAAGAACGGCTGTCATGGGCCCCCCGAAAGTGCCGGGGTACAGAACCAAGAGCTCGAAGGGGCTCTGTTTCCGACACCTGCACGGTGGTGGAAGCGGGAGGGAGCTTAAGGAGGGGAACGGGCAGCTTGGTCGACCTCACGGAAAGAGGGATCTTACCCATCCCGCAGACGCCCCCTCAGACCACCGCCCACTGCTTCCTCCTCTCCGTTTATCGAACCCCGGAAAAAAGGAGACCCCTAGAACTCGGCTCCGGCGGTCGACGTTCGGCGGCCCGCCTCCGTCTCCGCCCTCTGCACGCAAAACCCAGAAAGCCCCTCACCCCTTTTCTTCTGCCCTTCCCATTTCCATCTATCAAAAAATCTCCGAACCTCATTACACCATCTCTTACAGGTACAAAAACCATTCATATGAACCCTAATCTTTTCGTTGTTTCGGGACGATGGAGCTCACTGGACGTATAGCCCATTCGGCGTAGTTCTTGACGAAACCCGTTCGATCGTGTGTGAGATTAAAACCTATTTGTCGTAATTTTGACCTAAATCTTCTCCGATTTGTGCAATTCTTATTCATCAGCGGTCGAATCGTGTCCCATTGGATCAACGAGCTCTTAATACATGGGTCGGAATTCGGGCCGCAAAAGGTCATATTGGGTCTGATGGGACACAAGGTCCACGTTATGCCTTGTGGGCCCAATTTTATCGGGTCGACGAGCCCATTAGCAGAAGGGTTGGACCTGTCAGGCCTACTGGATAGTAGCTGGGCCATGTATTGTTTATTCATTTATGGGCTTCGTGTAGTGCGCTGAAGCAAGTTTCGGATGGGCCGAGTTGATGCTCATCGCCTTATTGGGCTGCCGGTTACCGTTTCCTGCTCTTTTTCTTTAATTATTTGCTAGAGCATGAAATCGTCATGCTCCCAAACTGCCCAAGATTTAATTATTTTCTAGGTTTTTTATTTCAAAACCTTTTCGAGAAAAATACAGCTCTTCCAAGAAAGAGGGGCAGCCAAGAACACGGACGGGAAAGTTACCACATTTAGCACCCCCACGCCATAAAGTTCTAACAACCTAAAATTGAGACTACGAGGGATGAAATTCTTGGTGCTCTATGAATTTAGAAACCCTTTCGACGCAATCACCGCTCTTCTAGGAGATATATTCGGTAAGAACATGAGAAATTTGACGAAGTCGTTGCTCAGTAGAAAGAAAAAAATTGTTGGGTCTTCTAGTCTCTTGTGAGGAGGCTGACGTTTGTAGGTCCAGAAGGGGACTCTCGCCTAGGCTTACCACGGCAGTCGACAATAGAGATTGAGAGAGGTTGAGAGGGATCGAGATTGATTGATTGAGAGAGAGAGAGAGAGAGAGAGAGACCATTTCAATGATGTACAGGGTTGGTTAGAGTGAACGGACCCAATTCAAAGATGGCAGCATTGCTGGTCAGCCTGAGTGGACTCGCTATCTGATCCGGCAAGGGATCCCTCCGCGCACCCACAACGCGTTTCTGGATGGGGGGAAGGATGACGACGGGGAGAGGAAGGACGCGCGGCTAAGAGCTCAGAAAGAGGTCGGAAGGTGGCCGGAGGGGCGTCTTCAGGCGGCGCCAAGAGGAGGCGTGCGGTGGCGGCAACAGGAGTGGCCACGGCAGCGATAACGGGGAGAGCGGCCGCAGAAGCCATTCGCCAGCCTCTGCAAGAACAGATGATGCGTGTCTGTCAAAGCGGGTGAGGAAGAGGAAAGAGGAAGGGGGGGTTCGCCCAACTCTCTCGCCAGACGACAGCTGGGTAAGGAACAAAGCATCCGCCCCTCGCGCTGTACATGTCCAGAGTCACGCCGTATAGCAAGGCCCGCGCCTCTTCGTCCCGTCTCTGTTTTCTTGGGAGGTAGCAGCAGTCAGGTAGGGCAGCGCCCTTGGATTGTTGCGGAGAGCCGCCGAGCCGCTGACGATCTTCTTTCGGGAACACCGTCGATGGAGATAGACGCCCGCCCTATGATGTCGATGAATAATAGAGGCGCCGGCGGCTCAGACGTCGATCATCTGAAGAACAGTCGGCCCAATCACATAAGCCCTCGATGTTACGGAGAGCCACCGAGACGCTGACGATCTGAGTGTGATGGACCCTAGTTTCTCTCTCTCTCTCTCTCTCTCTCGCTGTCTGTGCTGTGACGGAGGAGAGTTCCGTCGTCCACATTCTTTGCTCGAAAGGAGAGGTCTTTCGGATGGGCCATTTACTAATAGCGATCACAGGAAGTACCCTGCCTGTAGCTTTTAACTTTGGGCAGTCGCCTATTTGTCTGCGATCAGAACAGCCTTAACCAGAAGCTACCCACCGGATCGGCGCGGGGGGGACGACCTGAACCCAAAACGCAGGAGGACCCCTATTGGCAACTGCATGGAGGACCTCGAGAAGCAGGCATAGATCAGCAAAACAGTGAGAAGCTACCGGTGGTTCGCTCTAATGGTAGCCGGGGAGCTCGTTGAAACAGTAAGAACCCTAGACCATCGTAGCCGGAAGTGTATGTACAAGCGCTACGCGCAAAACAGGAAAAACAGCAAGATGAGAGAGAGAGAGAGAGAGAGAGAGAGAAAGAGGGAGAGAGAGAAAGAGAGAGAGGGTGGTGTACGAATGATGTAATACGAGCACAAAAAGTTGTAGTCCCCGCGCAAATGATTCATCGTCGTCTTCACCCTTCCGTAGCGCACCTCCGACGCCCGAGGCGGGACAAAAAGCAATCTTTCGGCAGTTGTGCCGCCGACTACGGTGCCGGCACGGCAATGCGGCCGCCACTATCGGGCGATTTCAGCTACCATCGACGTGTAACCGACCTGCTCCATCTCCCAGCGCAGCTTGACCACCGCCCCGTCCCCAGCCGGCACGTATTCCTGTCGAAACTGAGGCTGTAAAAACCCAGGAATGGATCGAAGACAGCGGTGGCGCGAAATGCGTGAGCTCGGAGACCGGGGGGACCTCCAGCTTCTGGACGAGCTCCTTGGCTGTGGGGGCGGAGATGAAAATGTGGCGCTGCGAGGGGTCGATGAAGCCCTCGCCAACGGCGCTGTCGATTAACGCCAGCAGCGCGTCGTAGTAGCCATCGACGTTCATCAAGCCCACCTGAAGAACGGAATTTAACCTTAAAAAGAGAGGCTTGAGACGAAAATCTGAAGGACCGTCAGGTCTGAGGAGGTGCCGATTGTATGGGAAAAGCTCGGGAAAGGAAGGAGCGCTCCGATCTAACTCACTGGCTTTCTGTGGATGCCCAGCTGAGCCCAGGAGATCACCTCGAGCAGCTCCTCTAATGTCCCATAGCCACCTGATGTTCAGTCACGAATGAGACTGAGGTGCCAATCGCGAAAATCCTAAAAGGGAATGGGGAGAAGGGAGAGAGAATGAGAGAGAGACCGGGGAGTGCGATGAACGCGTCGGAATGCCGAGACATTTCTGCCTTCCTCTGGTGCATCCCGTCGACTACTTTCACCTCCCCCACCGTCTCTCCGGTGACCTGAGAGAAGGGAAACAGCACAACGAGACGAATGAGGAAGTGGCATGGGCGAGGGAGAGAGAGATACAGAGTCCCAACAGGAAAACTTGGGCACCTCCTTGCGCATCAAGGTCCGGGGAATGATCCTGAGCAGAGGGGAGGAAACGAGTCAAGCAGTCAGCGAGAGATCTAAAGCTCGGAGCAAGAGCCGTGTACAATGGACGAAGCGGCGGAGGGAGAAGGTTCTCGGAGGAATTAGAGGCCTACCCGAGGACGTGGCCGCCGCCCTTGTGGACGGCCTGGGAGACGAGACCCATCAACCCAACGCTACCTCCTCCGTATACCAGATCTACTTTCCTCGCCACCTGTGGATGCCGCAAAAGAATCCTATGTAAGACTGTTTCAAAGGCGGCCAGTCTTCATTGCGCGGCTAGGCATCCGCATTAGAGGAGGAAGAAGAATAGGAACGATGATCGAATTGAGACGAAAGAAGCTGCAATCGGCGAACTACGGACGAGTGGTTTTCCGCCCATTGCTTACCAGCTCCGCGCCAAGCTCGACGGCGGCATCCTGGTAGCTCTGCTTCTTCCCGGTGCTACTCCCGCAGAATACGCAAACACTTCTGAAAGGTGATTTCTTAGCCGGGGCCTCCACAACCAGTGGTACGCCTTCGTCAACCTCCATAGCTCCCTTCCTTCTGCAGCCCACTGCACAGTGGCCCTGCCCGATCAGTTTGATTCTTCTAGCTCTTCACCTGTCGACTGGCCTGCCGCAACCACTGTTCCCAGACGGCGACCGCCACGCGAGGAACAGTCAAAAGCATGAAACCTTAAATGTGGCCGGGAGAAGAGCTGGTAACGAAGGTACAGGACGAGGGGGCATATATAACATTTATATATATATACTTCATTTTTCTTATGTCTATGTCTCTCGCTCTCTCTCTCTCTCTCTCTCTGAACCAGACTAGGCAAAGAAGAAGTAAGGTGCTTTTATACGTAAGTCTGGGACGCGTGGTCGGTCAAATAAATAAAGAAAAAATAAATGCGAAAGCAAAGTATTTCAATTTGAATTATGGGGCACTGCAGGTTTGCAAATAAAACGAGAAAACAAGAAAAACTAGTAAATATTAATATCTGAAAATCCTCGAGGCATGTATTTTATTAAAAAAATATTAAGCAACCATAATTTTAATTTTAAATTAATATATTTTTGGGGAAATGCAGCGCGAGCGGACAGACCTTGACAGCTGCCTCGCAGGAGAAAAAAATCAGAGATATTGTAAGACGAAAGGGATACAACCTAGACGTTTAAAAATCCAATGGGCCGAGAAAAGTGCGGCTGGACATTCCCCTTCTCTCTCGTCTGTGCCTTCGCACGTGCGAAAACAGGCATCCTCTGGATTCTTCCCCTTCATGATGTCGACAGTCGCTCGTTTTCCGGTGAAACGGACTGATTATTTTCCGTAATCAGGGTTTGCGAAAGGGCAGATTTCCCCCCCCTTTTGGCATTCGCACGTGTCATTCCTTAGTTTCTTTTGCTTTTAATGCGTTGACCGTGGATGCCCGCCAGACGACGAGTCCCCACTATTGGTCCCTTTTTACGGTTCAGAGACGAAAGCTTGACTGAACTCTGCTTCATGGAACCGTATCTTTCAGAGAGGTGGAAGGAACAAAGACGGAAGAGTAAGCTTCGTCACTCCTCCGCTGATCAACTCGGATCAAGTTGCTCACCTAATCGGAACGAACAGCTCAAATAGTGTACCTAGGTTAGTCTGGAGAGCCCCAGCCCGCTTTAGATTATCTCCGCCGCTGTTGAACTGAAAAGTAAGTTAACCTTGGTCAACCTCTGACAGAGAGGTAGAGCGTGTTATGAAACTGAGAGTCAGATAGACTAGAATACGGAAGCGAGGCGAGGTTAACCCAGTTAATCCTAACCGGTTGTCAAACTGGCTCGTCTATCACGTTTCTGGAATCTTGATCGTAAGAGAAGATCTTGGGGCGGAAGAGTGGCCTCCTGGAATCATGTTTCTAGTTAATGCTCGAGGGAACCCTGCACGTACGAGCTTGATGCTGTGAGGAGACCAGCTCCTGCCGGTTTCTGAATGATTGGCCACCTGCACGCCGCCCCTTGGCCTTCCAGTTTCTTCTACTCCTGTTTTCCTCCTGCCCAATCTGTTTTCATGGAGTTCGATGCGATAAAGCTCCGTGTTATTTATCAGTCGACGAGAGGGAGGGAGAGAGAGAAGAGACACATTCGTGTCAAACCCACTTTTTTTGTAAGGTATCGCTGTCAGATTCGTATCGTACCAGAGGTGTATGGAGAGAGAGAGAGAGAGAGAGAGAGAGAGAGAGAGAGAAGTCTCTTCGGGAGTGAGGACGTCTGTGGAGGTTACACTGGAGAGGGTCTGCTCTATTCGAAGAGCAGAAAAGGAAGGAGTTATTTGTGCATGTTGGTGTAGATCGCTTTCTTGTGGAGAACTCCTCCGGGCCCTCCTTTCCCCGTTTTTGATGCAGGTTGTGATGGACGTCACCGGCATCAGATTATCATTACTCACTGAAAAGGTCTGGATCGTGGTCGCCAGGGTTCTCCGGCAAGATAAATGCCTTGACGTTGATCTTATCGACCGCGATCCCCATTTATTCACACATTTCGAAGATCTTACCTCCGGACAGATCCGTCTACACTCGGTGGGTCGTCGAAAGACCGAACCGAGAGGCGCCGGAGCAGAAGATTATCCGGCGGGATCCCACCGCCGCCTCCTCCCTGCTCCGAGATCTCCCGTCGAGTAACTCACTCCAGATTCTCTGTATCATGGGATCGTTTTAGCCGGTCGGCTCGGTGCAGAGAGGCTTCTACGGAGGTATCTCTTTCCGAGTGCTACTTATCTACCTTGTCCGCATGGGATGAGCTGACGTCTCCGGCATTTATTTGATGGGATTCGACGGCACACTTCTCTGTCTCTTTCCATTTCCCAGATAGGAGCTCCGAAGATCTCGTCTGTCGAGCAGAGGAGGGGCGAACTCCTTCGTTCCGTTTCTGACGGTGATTCCAATGACTGGAAGATATCTCGTAGCCGGGCCACCAGTAGTCGCCGGAGGAGGACGTCGCCAGCGGGAGCCACGCCGACGAGCCGGCATGAGAACCGGAAAAGAGGACGCCCGCCTCCGATCGCCCGCCACGATTGAGTATGTCGGCGGCTCGCGGCGTACGTCGCCATCTGGAGGATCTCAGTATCCCCCCCTACGAATTGCTCGGCCTATCGGACATCGCGCCGCCCTTCCATTCTGGGTTGAACATGAGGAAGCTAGCCAGCATCCTCGGATGCCGAGAATGCTGGATGAAAATACAAAACCATCGAATGGAATTCGAGTTTCAGAACCATCGGAATCATCTCCCGGTCTCCAAGTATTAGCTCGTCGAAGAATGATCGTCATTAATGATCAAAAAGTAGGACGTCGACCCTAACGATAGGCGGGATCGAAGTTTTATGTAATATTATTTTATGTTATAGTACAAATACTACGGTGAGGAGACGTTCATTGCCCGACATACAAAATCCCATGTATAGTAAAGAAGCTGTCACAAAATATTCACGCCATATTAACTATTTGAGGAAGATCGACAGGAATTGGCAATCACTCTCTTGTTCGTCAGTGATGGATAAGGGGGGGTTGGTTGGCTCTTCTGAGAGCTTGCGTCTTCTTCGAACCTCCCGGGACGTGTCCGTGGAGAAAAACAGATGCTACACAGTACGATCGCGACGTGAAGGTTATCAAATCGAAGAACAGGTAGAAGAAGCTAACAGTCAGCGCTGTGGAATCTGGAATTCCCACGCAGTGCAACGCATTCTTACTCTTTATGATTTACGCTAAATGCTCTACTGAGAATATAATTCATAAAGAGCACTTCGTTTTATATTTATGACTATTTGCATTATAGTGAGGCACAATCATGCTTACAATTATAATGACAATTCGAGTTTTGTGCCACAGCTAAGTGCTGGAACCTGTTCTAATCTGGTAAGGCTTACGGCATCTACGGAAATCTAAGCTCCACAAACGAACAACGGAGGAGGTGACCGCATGTAGAGGAAGATTCGTTAAATTCGGAATCGCCTGGTCATCGTCTCAGCCAAAGGAGAGTAGCCTTCCGCTTTCATCACCACCGGGTTGGACATACCGCGTGAAGGGACATCTGCTCGCCCACACGCATACATAGCTAGGACTCGAAACTTGGTTGACAGCTTCAATCACAAGAGTGGGACACCATAGTACGTTCAAAACTTTGTGTTTGCTACGGAAGATGAACGATGATCACACGTTGACTGAGCGTTGCAAGTAATTGCACGACTCCTTCCCGCCCCTGTCGCAGTCCGTCGTCTCGTTGGGACGGGGAAGAAGGGAAGGAAGTTGGCCAGCTGTCCTGTCCTCTCCCATTTCCATATTCCAAGTCCTGAGGCTTGTCGACTAGCGACGACGTAAGACTGTGTTGTCCATGCTTTGATTGGAAGTCAAGATGCCGCGTGGATCAGAATGGGTGCGGGGCGATATGGCTAGCTGAGAGATGTTAAGTGCGCTTCTGAAGGTATGTGCAACTCCCGAAAGGTCCACCTGTGGCCACTAGGAAGCGAGAGGTGAACCCTTCAGCGAAGCAGAAGCTGCGGACGGCGGCGGGTCGAATATGAACCTGCCGGGGTTTCGATTCCATCCCACAGAGGAGGAGCTCCTCGACTACTATCTGAAGGGAGCCATCCAGGGAAAGAAGCTCGGCAAGGAGGTCATCGCTACCGGCAACATCTACCGCCACGACCCGTGGGAGCTCCCCAGTGCGTAACAGATTGCACTCTCGTTGTCTTCGCTCCTTAAGGTTTAATAGCCGTGAAAATCCCGATACAAATGCTTTTCCAGTTTTGTAAAATGCAGTGCTAGCGAGGAACGGAGGGAGAGAGTGGTACTTCTTCGTACCAAGGGATAAGAGGAACTCTAGCGGCGGGAGGCCAAACCGTACAACGGCACGAGGTTTCTGGAAGGCAACCGGCACGGACCGTGCCATCCGGAGTTTATCGGACCAAAAACGGCTGCTTGGCCTGAGGAAGACGCTGGTCTTCTACCAGGGGAGGGCGCCCCGAGGCCGCAAGACCGACTGGATCATGAACGAGTACCGGCTCGTCGATGCCACTGGCTGTCCACCACCAGCAAAGGTGTGATCTTCCTACATTTTGATCACCATCATGAACGGAAAAACTGCCGTAAAAAATCATGCTGTCTCCTTTCAGTCGGTTCACAAGTGTATTCGAAAATTTAATGTTTGTTATGGGGGTATGATAAAGGCAGCGGTAACATTGAAAGATTTCTGCTCAAATCCGATCTAATTTGAAATGATATGGGAATTTAAGGCAAAATAATTGAAGACTAGAATAATGACCCTTATTTTGAGCACTTTTTTTTTCCTGCAGTAACGTGGCTATTATCATCTTCGATTCGCTAAATGTTTCTGGCTTCAGAAACAACGAACTGCCGCACAATTTGGGTATTGATGCATTGGTTAGTCTGTGACGTAAACATGTTACCGCAGGAGGACGTAGTTCTGTGTAAGATCTACCGCAAGGCCAAGACCATAAAGGAGCTGAAGAGTCAGGTAGATGCCATGGAGGAGGAAGTTGGCCGCGCGTTGGGCTCCTTACGCCCCGCTGACGCCTCCTCCTCGTCGGCCCCCGCTGCCTCCTTAGGCCGAGGCATCTCCCCAGAGAACCCGCCCACAATCCCCCTGACGGAGGGAGAGAAAGAGGCCGAGGTCACGTCCGTCCCACTTCCCTCCGAACCTGCTGGGATCGCGAATCAGGGGTTCCTCCTGGAGCTAGAAACACCTGAGGTGCCTTCCCCGAAACTGGAGCTGGAAACGCCTGAGGTGCCTTCCCCGAAACTGGAGGTGGAAACGCTTGAGGTGCCTTCCCCGAATTCGGAGCTCGACTGGATGGGGAATTACTTCTTCGATCAGCTTCTCATTCCTTGTGTGGACTACTGGTCTTTCTACCTCTCGAACGCCCACAATTTCGGGGACGATGGGGTTCTCTCTGCCCAACCCCCTAAAGATGATGTTGTCCCCGATCTGAGGACACTTTTCGAGCCAAACCAGAACGGGGAAGACTTTGTAAATTTGTGAGCGAGTGAAGCAACAAATATATCTTCCACAGTGTTTATTGGCAGATAACCCAGTTCATGGCAATCCAACAGTCCAGTCAAACGCTTGCGACAATCATCCGGGATCACCTCTTATTTTAGAGGCGAAGGTTGGGAAGGAAGGTGGGAAGAGACGGTGGCGAGGCGGGGCTTGCCATGTTTACAACGGAAAAAGAAAAGGGAAAGGCTCCCACCCCAGCCGCCGCCATTATCGTCAAAGGTGACCGTTGCGCACTGTGGCTGCTGCCATGATCTCTTGCGATCGCATACAGTGCCGCTGCGGTTTGTGCTCTAAGAGAGATGCCAAAAGACGGCTTCGGAACAGTGAAAAAAATTGCGCCTCTGGCACAAAATAAGTTAATATTTGAAATTGTTTATGGGAGGAAGGCGGGTGAGAGAGAGATGGACAATCATGTAAGTGTGTTGGACAATCATAAACTTTTGACTTAAATCCCACTAAAGCAAAACTTGGCCTGAAAAAACAGGATATCGTATATTTGTCATGGTCGCAAAAATATTTACGATTGCACTAAACCATGATTAAAGTGGTATAACATGCAGATGGATGAGTTGACGATATCACGCGATTCGGATCACTATGTTTCTCGAGTGCAAATAATCATATTAATCACGCACCGATGAATGGCGTATAACTTATATCTCATTATTCGTGCTTTAACATTTAGGAATATCACCCATGATACTTGATTCGAAGGGCTAAAAGGTATGTAATGCCTCATAATTACGGTGCATCCACTTGCAATCCTCAGGCATTCAAAAAATCTTTTTTCTTCCCCTCTGTGGATCAAAAGTATTCAGATCTGTCCTTGTTTTCTTTCACTTTGTTTTAAAATATTTTTTTATTGACCTGTCACATCTTTAAGAAGATTTAACAGATGCTCTAATCGATTAGATAGCTGAGGTAGAAGTGTAAATGCTTATCATAGATGATCCGATAGATTTAACAATAGAAAACTTGTTCTTTTACATGTTATATTTTTAAAATCTGTGACGATAGGTATTGGACTCATGATTGATAGGGACATTTGGCCCGACGGCAACGGCGAGAGAGAGAGAGAGAGAGAGAGAGAGAGAGAGAGAGAGTGATGGAATAACATCTAGAAAGACGACTGGGCTCATATTTGAAAGGGACGACGACGATCCATCGCTTTAGAAAAGCATATGGTTATTGACCCCTTTGCTTGCCCAACCCATTACTTCTAGTGGAGTTGCCCAACACATGACCTGCGGGCCTAAGGAGGACTAAGACCTCTGTTTCTTTCCCTACCATGGGGACGCGCTTCCTTTTCCACAAAATATTTACCTGCTCTTCGTCAGTGCAGGACAGATTTTTTTTGGGTCATTTGTTGTCTAATCCCGGTACACGCCGGAGTCTGCCAGTCACGAATCCGCTAGGAAAGACCCTGGGTTCAAGGGCGACTGAAACATTTGAACGAAAGTATCCTTCCATGGTTAGTGTCGGGAAAAGAATAACCTGGTCGTCGGTCTGCACCGCAAGTCGCGCGGTCTTGTGACGGTCACGGTGGGAGGACACGACATTTTCTCTGGATGGAGTGGACCAACGGAGGATTTTCAGTGCACCAATCGACATAGAATGATGTGCCGAGCTAGTGCTCCACAGGACAGTAAGATACTCTTGTCAGAGATGTGAGCCTTGAGCAATACGCTGTGAGAATACTATGTACTAATTGTCGGCTGTTGCAATCCTTTAACTTAATTTTTCACTCGGCAAGTATTACAAGTAGTAGAAGTGTCTTATAACACTCCCAGAGATGAGTTGTTGCGAGGCACATGCTTCCTCCAGGTAGACAAGAAGGGAACACCAAGACCCGGCGTGCAGGGCTGAGTGTGGAGCCACATATAAATGCTAGTCTTACCCACGATGTAAGGTTAAGAAGACCATTCAAAATAAATTGGCAGATCGGACGAATCACGCATTAACTCGGTATTTATATCTAAAGAGAGTCAAATCAATGAGTTTAAATTGTTCAAACAGTTTACTAAGAAAAGGGGACCCGTTCAAAACCTGCAACTCGAAAGGACCGCATTGAAGTTCGAGACTTGCCTGGTACAGATTCTTCCACACGCTTTCTTTTCGGCACAGTTCGGGCGCAGACGCGTTCGGTCTCCACCCTTTCCTTTGTCGTAATGGATTGATGGACCCGGTCTATCGTTCCATCTGATGGCTGCATATTAACATTCATATCGAACGGCAGGCATCAGTCCATGTCTTTGACAAGCGATCTTAAATTTTCGGAATTATACTTGGAATACCCCCCTCCCGTCCAAACGTTTTGGTCGTCGCTAGCCCTCGAAATAATATTGTGTCAGTTTTGAGATTACAAGTATGTATTTGAGTTAATGTATATAGCACGTATAAGCTTACCCGATTATAATATAACTGCCAGCATATTGCCTGAGTTTGATTTGAGTAACGCTATTTTGACGGTGACAGGTAAACGCAGTCATCTTTTATTATGATAATGTTCCGCCGAGTTAACGCACTTAACGAAGACCTGATGATGTTTGAAGTCAACCAGAGCATGGAAGCCCAGAAGCCGCGTGGGTCCAGAGACGCTGGGGTCAACAATGAGCGTGATAACCTGAACAGCCCTGGCGGTATATATGACGCCAGAAGGGCGCTCCGGCTTGCCAAACACAAATCAGGGAACTACCTGACTGCGTATCCACAGCATCATCCATTTCTGCGTCGGCGGGGAAGATCGGGGAGTATGGAGGAGGGTGGCTGGTCGGAAATTGACCTGCCCGGCTTCAGATTTCATCCCACTGAGGAGGAACTACTAGACTTCTATCTGAAGGGAGCCGTTCAGGGCAACAAGCTCAGCAACAGCGTCATCGCATTCCACAACATCTACCGCCACGACCCTCGAGAGCTTCCCGGTAAGTCATTCCGAAATCCCTCCGCCGCCTGAGGGCTGAAGCCAACTCCAACACCGTCCGCGCTTCTCGTGATTCATATCACTAAGGGGAGGGCTTATTTATTGATGAAATGAAGGGCTGGCGAGGACTGGGGAGAGGGAGTGGTACTTCTTCGTCCCGAGGGACAAGCTGAGCTCCAACGGTGGGAAGCCGAAGCGGACGACGGAGCGAGGTTTCTGGAAGGCAACCGGCTCCGACCGCCCCATCCGCAGCGTTTCCGATCCCAGTCGGCTCATCGGCCTGAAGAAGACGCTGGTTTTCTACGAGGGACGGGCGCCACGGGGAATCAAGACCGACTGGATCATGAACGAGTACCGTCTCCCCGACACCATCAGCTCGCCGCATCTACCAAAGGTGTGTATCCGTCCATCACCTTCGACATTTTTCGGCGTTGATGGAATATCCGGGGCAACCTTAATTAATGGAAAGTGAGGATAATTTGTAACGAGAACTTGAGGACGCAGTGAATAATGTTGTTATCGCAGGGGGACATCGTGCTGTGCAAAATCTACCGCAAGGCCAAGTCGATGAAAGAGCTGGAGAAGCGGGTGGCCCCGGAGGGTAAAAGCAGGCCGGCACCGTGCGTCACATCGGGGGCAGAGACCTCCTACTCCGCCTCCGCGACGTCGTCCTCCGACCGGGACATTTCTGTGCAGGCGCCGCCAGTGCTTCCATTGCTAGAGCCGGAAGGGAGCAAGAAGGAGACGAAGGTGGAGATGGAGGCGGAGGTCAACTCCATTCCTCGGGTCTCGGACCCTACTGGGGGAGCTATCAGATTCCCTGCCGATCTCGGGATGCTGCAGGTGCCTCCAAGGTCGAACTTCGACTGGATGGCGGATGCCTATTTAATGCGCACTCCGTGGCTCGACGACATTTCCCCCTGCTACGCGAATATCTTCAACTTTTAACCTTTCTGTGGATAGGGCAATATGCTCGGCGATTGACTAGATTAGAGCATTCACCCCTAAGTCAGAGTCTCGAGGACTTGGCAATCTAAGTCCCTCGTTGACCGAAGGGGATCCTCATGTTTCGGGATAACATATAGAAGAAAGCAAAGCTTGAATTGGTCACGTAGAAAAACAAAAGAATAACCGTGACACCGACCGTTGATGCAGACTGTGTGGTGAGCACAAACTTTCAACTGTCAAACAAAGTAAAAAAAAAAAGATACCCTCTCGGTCAACTCTAATATCTCTCCATTTATTATGACGTCGCGACATAAGTACAAAGTTATCGAAAAAGAGAGAGATTAATTAAACAGCATATTTGTCAGCAGAGGCTTGGCCAGAATCGAAGAAAACAGAAGAGGCCTAAGAGCTGCAATCCAGAAGCGAGGAAGAGCCCGATCATATTTGCTTTCTTTTGGTCGGTCTAGTAAGTGCCTTTTGTTATCTATAAACTTTTTGATTGTTAGACAGTTATAAAACCCTATTATTTAGGAGATTTACTACTACTTTTCGCATGTATGACGGGGCATACGATCTATTAGATCAAGGTTTCCTGTTGTTTTCTAGGGGATATTATTACCTAAGACATCTTTAAATCTTGCGTAGATCTTGACATAAGCAATTCATGTTGATTTTAGTTTCCCGTGATCATCATTAATGTGCTGAAAATCAGACGACTTGCTCGTAGGTTTCATATAATATTAACTAATTTGCTCTCTGAAGTTCTTTAAAAACTTCATATTTGGGGAAGAACGAGACCACCTTTTATTTTTTTGATTCGAGTGTGATCTAATGCCCCAACTCCACGGCGGGGATGCCTATCCCAACTCCACATGCTGCAAATCGATCCTATTAATTTTAGAAACTCGGTCGCTTCCCTTTCCATCTATGATGGAGATAAGTCATCATCCCTCTTTCTGTGAAGGTTGAGCCCGTTTCAGGGCCGGTGGCTCACATCACCAAGAACGAGGCGGGGAGCCCGTCGCGGCGGGCGCACGTCTGATGAGCCGCCGCTGAGATGCAGAGGAAAGCACATTTAATGACGGAGTCGCATCATGGGAGCACTCCTCCCTGGCTCGCGCCTCGGAGATTTTATAATATGATAATAGCAAACAAAAAGGAACATGAGTTCCTGGCGTCCCACGACTGGGAGTATTTTGTAGAATATAAAAAAAGACTTTTTTCACGAGCTGATAAGAAAACACCTACTGCAAAGTCAAATCTGTACACTTGATAATGTTGTCCTTCTGGATCGTCGATCGATGTTTTGACCGTCATGGGATTAAACCCACCCCCGCAAGAGTATCTCTTGATCGTGTCCTCGGGGAAATGGAGGGCGGCGAGAGGGCGGCCGTCATAGAGAGGGAAAGGAAGAAAAACTCCGGTTGGCGCCTCATGACTTGAAGGAGAACGCTCACACTCACGTTATAATATATAGTCACATTTTTAGGTTAATCGAATTCTGCATGCATATGTACCTGGAACCTCGCGCTTCCAAATGTCACGGACCACATGGGATGAAATCTACATCTATAAGGTATTTCTAGGGTTTTCATTTTGTAGAATTAGTGCTAAAATTATGAACATTATGAAAAGACATCATGATTTGGATAAAAATAACTACATGTGAGAATGTGATAGGGACATTGACTCTAACACTTTGAAAAATTATGAGAGTCCAAGTTGGGACGAAGAACCCTTGTAGAAGTCGACTCAACAGGAGGTCAACTTGGAGCAAGGAACAGGTCAAAACTTGGTCCAAGAGCCTATATATAAAGCCTAAGCTCAAGCCCAAGCCCAAGAAGAAGATGAGGGTAGTTATGAGTCGAGACTTAAAGCATTCCTTCAAGCCCTCCTCCCTAGGCATTCACTAAGGAGGTGTCATCCACTTTCCTTCTTTGTGTAAACACATTTATGTAACTGCCTTTGTACCTATCCTTCCTTAAGATAGCCTATAAAAATGGGGTCATAAAATTTGAAAAAAAAAGACTAATTTTAGTGAAAACATTGTCAAGTATTGTCATTCATTCTCCTCTCCATTTAATCCTCTTCTATTTCTCTCTATCGATTTGATATCTCTTGATCAAATCTTCTTCTTTTCCCTTCTTCCTCTACTTCTGTCTCTACTCAGTCCTCCATCTTGTTCACCATCACTTTGCAATCTCCAGTGGATCAAACACTCTAAGAAGAGTTTTCAAACTTTATTAGATTGTGGGCAGATTGAGTATCACTCAAGGTATTGCAACTCTCATATCTTTTAAATTGAATTTGATCATCATTTAATTACCCTTGCTCTTGATCCTTGTGAGAACATGTAATAGTTAGCAAATTACCTTTTGTTTAGATAATTTGTCTCTCACTAATTAAGGTTTGATCCACTCTATTAAAATTAAACACCTCATTTTTAAAATAAAAATAAAAATCCTAATTCAAAGTTGAGGGAGTAAATAATTATAAGTCATCTCCTTATGTTGACTTTAAAAAATGGATTTCTCTTTCATATCTCTAAACATTGTGATCATTGAATTTGAATTTCTAATTCTACTACATTGTCTCACATTGGAATGCAAATAAAATGTTGCAAAGTCACAATTGAAGTCATAAAATAAAGAAGTAAAAAATATAGAATTTAGAAAATATTTTAAATCATCTATGGGTGAAAGTAAGACTATATCAGATAGTTAAAACAAACCACTAGACATAGGGTGTTAGAAATTTAATATGACAAATCTGACTTAACATGAGGATATGATCATCTAATACTAAACAAGTGTCTATCTATGAACAATCATAGATAATTACAAGAAAATACATTTCATAAGTAAATGATGACTACAAAAAGGTCAATGGATTACTAGCTACTGGTGAGGCATGATCTATGGCTAAAAGTGGTGTTATAGGAAGATGAGCTTTGACAGATGGTGTTGATGCCAACATAGTTGGATATGTGCCTGCAAGGAAGAAAAGGGGGAGGCAATTGGAGGAAGGATGCAAGATGTTTGCAGATGATGTTCAAGTCACGGACTACCACCAATAGGCAAGGCAATAGCAACGACATCCAATTGAAATGGTGGGTTGCAGAGGAGGGAGAGATGAACAATTGCAAAATGATGGAGCTCTAACTAGGAGTGGTGGCATCCTCTCGACCAACCTTACTAGGGTGATGTGGTCATCTCAACCAGGTCTATCAAGGCAACATGATCTTTGCGACCAACTCTTGGGGGAGGAGTGATGGATGAAAGGAGGGGCTTCTCTTTTCCTCAAAATCAAGTTCTGTTCTTCTAGGACAATGGTTCAATCTTTATATAGACATGACATAGAAAATAGAAAATGGGCTTAGTAAGATGATGGCCCCACGAGGTGAAAAAGAGTCCACTAGTAATAAAAGAACTCATTTGAGTTTGATGGACATACTGATGTCTAGATTCATGGTGGGCTTCAAGGTCCAAATTTGATTTGGATGAGTTGGTTTGCTTGCTTGACCCATTGTGATTGAAATGGGCTCTTGTCTTGCATCACTCTCCCTTAGTTTAGTGAACTTGACTCTATCGAGTGAAGGGTTGAGGTGTTATTGTAACACTCCCACATGCCAAGATCAAGTTGATGAAGGTCCTCCCTTGTGGTCCATGAGTTATCAATTGGCAGATGATTCTTCTCACAAATCAAGAGCCTTCAGCTCCCTCTACCATCAATAAAAATCAATTACTCATTTAATTTATCTTCTACTGTTCATGTCGCTTTTGGAAAATGATTAATAGGCAATCAAGTGGGGTGTCACTTGAAAATATATGGTTGGGCTCAAATATCTCACTAGGTATATTAGGTGATTTATCAAAACTATATTTTTATGTTTTAATTAGGTTTATATTTTATTTTTGTGTTAGCTTGTAGAATAAATATTAGAATATATTTTAATTATAGAAGTCTGAAGTTAAATAGTTAACATAATTTTTTGATTATTTAGAAAAATAAAAGAATAAAATATAAAAAAATCACTACTTGCTAGTAAGTCAGCACTCGGCAGCTAATTCGGAGGGGTGCGATGGCCGAGTGAGTAGACCCAAATTGGGGGACCACGAGTTGGGCTTGAGTGGCAGAGAAGGACTCGCTTCACACACATGTGTGTCAGTCCTTGACATGTCCTAGTGGCCAGCTAGTTGTGGAGCAAGGAGCGTCATGCACACATGTGTGTGCAAGGATGGACCACCTTTTTACCTTCTCCCAACATAATCCGGTGCACTATTTTATTTTAAGAGAAGATATCTCTATTAAGAAAACATAACCTTGATTTACATTCAACTGATGTTTTCAATGTGAGACTAAAGTTTCTCATGTGTTTCAAGGTAGCCGTTCGGAGCACAGTGTCATCTAGTGATGTTTAGTGAGCCACATCATCAGATAAGCCAGATCATGCAGTGGGTGAGCTGCCATGATACCAGATGCGTAAAGTAATTCATCAGTGGCTCGTGAATCTGATGCTGCTCAACATGCATGTGACCATAAATGATGATCCAATGACTAAGGAGGCACCATGGTACCAGAGACTTAAGTTCTCGGTTGGCAGCAATTCATGACAAGTTGATCCTACATTGCTTAGCACACTACGTGACCAAGCATATATGATCCAACATCTCGCAAAACGTCACAATACTGGGAACTTAAGTTTTTGCATGTATCACCATCATGAATATAAAGATAATAATTGATTATTATCTGATAAAATAGACATTAATGAATATCTTTAAAATCTCGACAATAGTTGCGAATAAGAACCTAATTCTCTAGTAGAACTAATGCAAAACTTGATGAATGATCTTTGTTCTTCTTCTGAATCTTCTAAAACTCGTCTAAGATTAAGCTAATATCATGTCTAACTTATTTTTTTATTGAATTGTACAATTAAATCTCGATGTAGTTTTGTTCTCAACATTCTATAAATAACGAGTATTTTTTTATTTTTA